GAAAAGGTCCAGCTTTTTAAATATTACAAGAATCATGGACATCAGATGAAAACTAAAATATTGCATTTAAAATCTGACAGTACAAGTGTCTGAGTTATAAACCATTTTCATTCCTAGTTTATTATTGTTTATTTGTTATTTAAGAAAATTAAACTCCTAGTCAATGTTATTTTTCTAGAATATTTCCCATTATGAGAATACTATTAAAGTCCTAGAAGAAGAAAGAGAATATTATAAGAAAGAGTATGAATGTTTGAAAACGAGTAAACGAGCTCCTGCGTCTGGTAGATCTTCCCCTATTAAGGTAAATATAGTCTTGCTTCAGCTTTGAAGCTTAATATAACTATTGTTATTATACTGCAAGTGCCTCTGGGCAATTGGGGTCATAGCCATAGGCTTTTGAAATTTGAATCGGTCTGAAACAACAACAAAAATTATGTGCTTGAAATAATCCCCGACCATGCATATTTATTTTCATGATTAGAATAATCTTTAGTAAGATTCCCGGGAAGATTGCCGTGTGTAACTGGTGTCTAATGTAGATTGTCATTACAAAGTATGTCTCTTTAAGACTACAATATTTTATATTTTTAGAGTGTAACTGAAGAATCTGAAATTGGTAGATTGACCAGAGAAAGAGATGAGCTGAAAAATTTACTTGATAAATTCGAACGTCATATGTCAGAGGTGGGTAATCTTTAGTCTGATGAGATGAACTCTAGTCTATTAGCAGGCTTCACAAAGACTGTGATTGACAGTATTTGCTGCTGACGTACAAATCAAATCAAATCACTGCATTGTGTGATACAAGAAAGGTGGCAATTTTCTCAAGGTATTAGGAAGAAGTTCGTAATAGCTTGACATATGTCAATTAGACATGAGTCTAGATCGAGTAGAAGCTTATGCATGTGATCTTGCAAAATGTTCATTATTGCCTATCTACATTCGCATAATCTGGAGTAATAAAGAACCTAGAGATGCATTGTTATAAGGGATACATAAACACTGCTGGTGATTATCGTCTAAATCTGCCCTGGAGTGCACATACATATATAGCACATATATATATAGTTTCTGTGGTGATATTGACTAATTTTGTCTTTCCAGATCCAAGCCAATGTACGAGTTCTGACATCTGAACGAGACAAGCTTAACAATATGTATGAAGAGGTATGATAATTTATTTGATACTGATATCAATTAATAATCCTGCTTAGATATTAACCCTTTGAACACTGAGTGTAAATAGAAGCAACATGATATACCCTGAAACCTAAAATATATTTTCAGACAACCTTATTCATATTTTACATTGATGAATGTTTTTATAAAAATTGATTATTAAAAATTTGATTTTGCAGACAAAGGATGAATTAATGAGAGTAAGAAGAGAATTAGTAGCATCACCCAAATCCCAGAAGACATCACTAGCAGCCCAGGCTGTGTTACGTCGTATTGAGAACGAACGGGACGACGCCATCACTGATTTACGACGTGTCGTCACTGACAGAGATAGTCTCCGAGAACGTTTGAAGGTGAGCAGACATTATTCACTAGTCTTGGAAAAATAATTGACTGTTATAGCTACATTTCTTGTATCATGTAAGTTTGTAAGTCAAGGTATAAGACCAAGTTTGTAATAGCTTGACGATGTAAAGATGATATTAGATATGATATCCATATATCTATAATCAAGAATTATTCTATGAGTACTTTTTATCAGAGTAAAACTGAAACTGCATGTCTTATTTCATTAGTCCACCATATTTGTTTATTGGAAACATTTTTTATTGTTTAGGAGCAGTAAAAGTTTCTGTGTATGTGACATTTGGTTATTTTGTTTTTAGATTGCCACTGAATCATCACTCTCGGACAGAGCGAAACTAGAACAGAAGGTAGAAGATCTAGAATCAACGCTACATACCGTGGAAGCTGAACGCAACGAGCTAACAGTCAGAATGAATACCTTGAAGGACGAGATTCGTAGTTATGAAGATGAATTGAAATCAACTGCGGCTCATTTGAATGAAGCCAGTGATGCGGCATCCAGAAATAAACAGTCATCTACTCAGATGAAGTAAGTTTTTATCCTTTTATACGCAGACATCTCTGTAATAAAGCCGAAGTTATTCTAAGGCTGTCATTGGTTATTCGAAGCTGATATTCAAATTCTTAAAAAAGTAATCGGTAAAATTAAATTCACTAACGAGCGACAATGTCTGAAGATAATATATTTAATATCACAATGTTTTACAGTCAGTGTTATCAAATGTTCAAAGTTTATAGCATTTCTAAACTCATAGCAGTGTTAGAAACCCCCTAACATATACTCATTCAAACTTTCAGAATGCTGGCAGAAGAAGCTGAGAAATCTTTAGAGGAGACACAGAGAAGACTGAACAGACGTGAGTCAGAATTACACGCTCAGGAAGAACGTGTCGTCCATCTTGAAGAGCGTTTAACAGAGGTCACAAGGTCATACACTATCAGTAAAGATGAATGTAATCAACTTCGTAGCACGTTGAGTTCAATGGATCGTGAAAAAGACTCGCTACAGATGACTGTTGATGAGAAAACAGAGAAGATTGCTCAGTATAATAACGAACTTCATGATAAGGTGGGTTGAATTGATGTGAAGATTTGTCAACATTGAATAAACTCACACAAGGGTAAAATATTCCTGATGATGGTTTATACCTAGCTCGCGTTCCCTTTTGTTGAGTGAACAATCCAACCCTGTTTGTGAAGAATTCCCTAATAGTGGCAGTAGGGTAAAACTAACATCGGTCTAATCCCAGCTCGCGTTCCCTGTTTCACAATGACAAGAAGCACCAACGTTTTTAATCCCAGATCAGTGTTCCCTGTTGGTGGGTGAACAATCCAACAACCCCTGTTTGTGAAGAGTTCTCTACCAGTGGGATTAAACCCAGCTCACGTTCCTTGTTTAACTAACTTGTCTCATGACAGGGTGAACAATCCAACAGTTAGTGAATTCTGCTTTGCAATGACAGAAGGACTGATACTCGAGTGTTAAACTTATAATATAAAACACGTATTTACAGGAAAGATTTTTGAGTGATTTGAAGATTAGAACGAGTGAACTAGAGGCTCAGTTAGAGTAAGTACCAACTAATTATCTCATAGTTTAGTCAAATCTAATACAGTCTTCAGTAAAAACTACCAATCAGAGTTCAGAGTTCTGCATCTTATAGTCTTAATTCACACATCCACCATTTTGAATCAAGAACAAGGCTCATAACGCAAACAAAAAAGGTAATGTCATGTCACCACGTAAAATCACCACCTTGATGTCTTTAACACCTTCTTCTCCAATACCACTAAATAAAAAATAATCATGTTTTACAGCATTAAAATGAAATTAAATAACGATTTATTTTGCTCTTTCAGACATGCTAATGATAGTTTAAATATGAAAGATCGAGAATTGAAGAGTATGAGACGACAACTTGACAGTACCGGAGAAGATCTGACAGAAACATCACGAGCTAAAGACGTGGCTATACGTGAGAATCGTAGACTTGCTGATGATCTGGGTGTCATGACTAAAGAAAACCAGGTTAGTTTACAATGATTGTCTCTTTTCTAAGTGTTTGTCTACTTGTTAGGTTAAAGGGACAGGTGTGCCATTTTGAGGGGTTGATTTAGGTCTTGAATATATGTAAATAGTCTTCAGAACTACTAGAAATGTACAAAAATCACATTATTCGTTTAAAAATAATTCTAGATACACGTGGATTTGAAGGCTAAAATTTTGACGGAGAGCTGAGAACTCCATTACTGATTAGCTCAGCTAAAATAATTCAAGTTTCTGAGACTAAAGTATGATTGTCCCGTTAAGGTTTGAACCACATTTAGTAGCGGAGAGAACCAAAACACCTGGGAATATATTATTGTTAACGCACCCCTAATGACAAATCAGTTTTATTTGCCAGTAACAGAATTCTTGACAGTCCTTTTTGTGTTTCTTTTTTTTCTTCTAGATTAAATGTAAATTGTGAATTTTTTCAGAAACTGAATCAAGAATTACAAGATGTTTTGGAAGAACGTGAGAATTTGAAGATGCAGATTCAACAATATATACTAGAAGTTCAACGTGTTGAAGATGTATTGGCTACCAAGGTATGATATTTTTATTTTTCTAGGCAGGGTATATTTGCAAGCTTGAGTTCCTCTTACTTGATGACAAGGAAATGGGTATTTTATTAATATTTGATTTTGTAAATGTTGACTTACAGACAGAAATGTTTAAGATCTAAATTTGTCATTGATTTAGTTTATTTTCACTCATACCTGAAAATTAAAATGAGCTTTCTAATGTTGTGTGTGTAAACAATAATTTATTCACTTATCTATTGAAATATACATTATGAAAAAGATTTGGTAACAGGCTTGGCCTATATTACCCCTCACTATTTGTAAGTCTGTAATTTTCTCTCTATTTAATCCAGGAACAAGAGAGTAGAATCCAAAAAAAACTAATTAATTATTGAAAAATAACATATATCGATGACAGCTTGTAGTTTTATGGTGAATTAGGAATCATTTTTACTTATTGTCTCTTTTAATCCAGGAACAAGAGAGATGTGATCTACTGGATCAATATCGTAAACTCTCAATGGAGGCTGAACAGTACCAGATGTCAAGCCATCAACTAGAGAGTGAGGGCTCCAATCTACGTCTGGAACTAATGACCAAAGATTCCGAGCTACGCCGTCTGCGTGATAAAGTTGACAACGTGGAGAAGGAGATTCAAGAGGTATGAAAATGAAAAGTTTTGATTTATTTGGGATGTCTTTCAGAACTTAACTTTGGATGATTTGAGAAGGCATTTCCTTTCTGTGTACTGAATAAGATTTAAACTCATGATAAATCTACCCACCAGCATCCTTGAGGCAATCACAACTGCTCTCTCAAGGGTGATCACTCTTAATAAAAACTAGATATTTCAGACTACAATATGACCCCAATTTTTCTTATTATTTCAGCACCTACATGCTCAACAAGCATATGAAATCCAGGTGTCTAATTTGACAAGATCTGTGGGTAATTTGGAAGAGAATCTAAGACAAACTGAAGAGGATAAACAGAATTTATTTGCTGATATGACAGCAGTCCGTGAACTCTGCAGTCGTCTGGAGGGCAGTAAAGAAACTCTACAACGGCAGTTAACTGCTACGAATTTGGACAAGGAACAGGTTTGTACTGTTTTATACAAAGATTTTATTTAATATTTCTGAAGCTATGATGGCTCTTTGAAGTTTGCAGGAATTGATATAAATGTAAAATCTTTGGATTTTCTACCCATTTATTTTTTATTAAGGATAGTTTGAAAGATCTTCCCGGGTAAGAAACCAGGCTTAGTAGGGTCTAAATAGGAAACTTAGCAAGAGCTTAAAATGAAACACAAGAAGCTGAAACCCCACTTATCCATTTCAAATAACCATATAATATTTCAATTACTACAATTTCTATATTATGTACCATAACTTTTTTCCCAGCAAACCCAAGTTATTGAAGATTTACAGCAAGAAGGTGACTTGTTGAAGAGTCAACTGGAATCAGAGAGAAAGTCTTTGAAAAGTCTGGAAGAAGTTCTACAGTCTAACCGCGAAAAGGAATTCGCTTCTCAACTTTCATCTCAAGAAAACAAGGCTGAGAATCAGATGTTGAAAGATCGTTTAGCTCTTAATGATAGTAAAATGTAAGTTTTAATATTCTTCTTCTCAGACAATCACTATGATGTGAGATTCAAATCTAGGGCGTGAATATATTTTGCAGTCTGATTTTATGGGAATGAATTGTAGTTTTCCAGTCTATTTTTTTCTTCTATAGTTTAGACTGATATAAAAAAAAAACTACATTCAGTGAGCAATTTATTTATTTTGTTATTTTCTATTTTTTTTAATATTTGTATCAGCATTAAGTTGTATTTTAATTTTCTTATTTCAGCCAAACCCAGAGCCGTGAAGTAGCCTCATTACGAACTAGAAATGTAGAATTAGAGGGTGACGTAGAAAGATTGAGAAGACAGCTGACTAATGAACGTTTTGAAAGGTAAATGATATGGATATACTCATTCATTGCCTTCATTCATTCATTGACTTCATTCATTGACTTCATTCATTCATACATTGACTTCATTTATTCATTCATTGCATTCATTTCATTCATTCTTTGGACTTTATTCATTCATTTTCAAATAACCCCTCAAAATATCCTCTTGTGAATGACAGTATTCTCTATATCAGTTTCATATATAATATCTACAAAGTAAAGCAGTTAACAGTTCAGACAGCTTGTTTTGACCCAAGAAGTGCAATAAAATATGCAGCCAATCCTTCTGTAGGTTTCCATTTCATTTAAATTTTTATTACATTTTTCAGAGAACGAGCCACTCAGGAATTAAGAAGAAATGGTTTAAATGCACCATCTTTAATAAATGAATATTCATCATCTAGTACAACACGCCAACTTCCTGAATATTCAAGCCCCGCCCACCATACGACTCGTCCAATTACAGACTATTCCTCCACCAGTATTTCTCATACTTCCCGTCCATTAAATGAATATTCCTCCTCGACCCATGCTTCCCGAAACGAAACCTCACACACCTCATTGGGTTCGACTCATGCCAGTCGTTCGTACAGTCCATCTATCACTAGGACAAGGTCAAGGTCACGAAGTCCAGGGGGCGCTGCTGGTGTTAGTGGTTCTAATGGATCAACTACAAGGTAATTTCACATATTTTTAAAAATAGATTCAAAACAGAAAGATGTTGTACTTTGTCTCCTTGTAATCCAAGTTTGTCAATTCATCATTCCTTTCAGAGAGTCCACATAGCCAATTATGGTCATTATTTTCCTTTTTCTTACACAAATAAACAAGCATGCAATGCAAGATATCTTACCTTCTATTATTTTTTTTTTCAGGTATCAGACTGTAGAAACGTCGTATTATAGTAAATCAAAACGGGGCTTCTCCCCGGAGAGAACTGAGCGTAGTTTCCAGCTGGAAGAGGAAGAAACTTCCGTTAAAGACGTCCTGTGATAGGCAGCTATAATTAGAATATTTAAATTGGTTTATTTTCAAATATCATTCCATCATGAGCACTGAGAGTAAGACTGGCTTGAATTTAGGGACAACAAAGGAATTGGGCCCCAATATATTTAAGGAAGATTTTGGTGTTTAGTCATTTTATTGGTAAATCATTAAAATTGATTATAAATTTAGCTATAACAACCAATCATATAACTGTATTTGTTAAAATCTTTATTTAATTTTGGTTAAAAGTTTGTGAAAAATGCCTTGTGAAGCAGAAAGCTTTTGTTTTGATATTTGAAGCAGAAAATCAGGACCATGTTCTATAATTGGCCTTAAAGTTATTGGATTATAAAGTCCAACAAAAAAATTTAATTGTGCTTTATCAGTTCTGATTCAAGCTTAAACACAAGTCAGTTCACAAGGCCTTAGTCCCTAGTCCTGTACATTTGGGAAGAATCAAAAGCACCCTTCCCCAAAATCTAAATTCAAGTCAGTGTATCCTATATTTATTTTATACAGCTATCTGTGATATCTCAGTCTCTATAAGATCATGTTTCAAGGCAAGCAAGGGCAATAACTCTGTACTGTTTTACTGTGGGAAAATTTGAGCTTGTAAGAAGCAAAAACATTAAGATATCAACATTTTCGTTTGCAGTATTTTATCAAAGATCTGATTTGCTTATCAATTTCAAGGCTAGACTTTTATGCAAATGAACAAATTGACTTCTAAGAATGTTTTTGACCCTTTTGATAAATATATATTCTAAGGTTTGTTAAGTACTAGGGGTGGGTGCCATAGCGATTACCAGTTGAGTATGTTTACGAATAATAAAAGTGATCAAGAGTTCCGAACGCAATTCACAATCCAGTAGCAAGAAAGCTTTGTTCGAAACTTATGGCCACTATTATTATTCACAGCCATATGCAACTAGTGATCACTTTGGTGTGAGGGCACCTTTAATCATTGTCAATTCTACATTCTATAATTGCGTGGATCATTTTCTGTTCTATTCTACCTCGAGGACCTTGCCTTGAATAAATCGGCCCCTGTTTAAATTTATGATTATCCGTCCTATTATCTACAGTATTGTATTTATTCTTGGTTTTAATCAATTGTGTATATTTTAGAAAGTAAAATTATAGAGAATTTCAAGCCTCATTTTAGATTTTTAGAAGGCGTGGTCATGACAGCCTGAAAATTGTTTCTCAGAGCTTCGCTTAATGGTTAAGTATTTTACCATATTTAATAAATTTTGAGTGAAGAAGTGAGCACAATCGCTTCATTTCCTATAAATCTTATTAAACGTTTTCAAATATGATCAATTTTATCTTTTGGATATTTAGAGAAAGTTTCACTGTGAAACAAGCCCTGCTAATAAAAAGATGATATAAGGCTTGATATTCACTATTAAACTGATTATTAATTGTATATAGACTCTAAAACTATTCCTATTTATTCTTTCTTGGGTATGTTCGATGCAACATCACTGGATCAAGATAAGACTGTTTTCAATTTGTTTTCATCTATTGGTACAAATTTGTTGAAACAATTAAATTTTAACAGCATGAGACATGCAATTTTTACTGATCAGCAAAAAGGGTGATGATGAAAGTTGAAACAGTCCTTTCTGCCAAGGGATTGTAAAAAGGTTTTCTAAAAAGATTTATGTGTATCAGGGACACTGTTAGCATCGATTTGCACAATTCTATTTTTCAATCAGACGTCTGTGGTTCCTGCTATTACACTGAAATTGAGAAAACCTTGTAACAATCTCCTAAGTTGTCTTATATTCTCATCTTTCCAAGTTAAGAATTATGGATACCTTGCGAAATGTCGAGGTTATTACATATACATCAGAATTTTACTGATAGAGTTATTAATTTCCATAACAACTGCTGATTCATGTCTCAGAAGTGCTCCTAAGTCACTTTTCTCAAGTTTTTTTTCGTAGTGTTTAGGTGTCAAAACCTATTTTGCAGACAGAATTACTAAAAGTTATGCAACCCTCAATGAGTAAATTTAATTTCGTCAATTGCCGACTTCAATTCATCCAATCAGAGGCTTAGAAAATGAAACTGGTTCAGGTTTCTCACACACTGATTGGATACTGATATTAGCTCTGTGTTTTGAATTCAGAAATTTTAATAATAAAATATTTATACTGTATTTATATATAGAGACTTATAAAAAAATAAAAATAAAAACATTTACTTGTTTTTTTAATAGGATTGATTCCTTAACAGAGACAAGTGTGCTATCCCAGCCACCAATCATACCTTAGTCTCAGAATCTTCTTGTTTGAAGCATATTTGAAAGGATTGTGTGATTTTTGTGCAGTTCTAGTAGTTCTGAAGACTCAAACCAGCCCCCAAAAATGCCGACTTCGTCCCTTTTATCAGCCATTGCTATAGACAAGTATGTGGTGTTAAGAATTTCTATAATTACAGGAACCAGACATCTGATGGAAATCGGAATTGTTGCTATTAAATGGCACCTATACACATAAAAAATCTTTGATAACCTCTTTTACAATTCCTATAAAGTATCTATAAATTTAAACTTTTTAAAAATTTAACAAGAAATGCCATATAGGAACTTACATTTATCACCATCTTGAAGTAATGGTGAATATCCAATGGCAGTACTTTCAGGGAAAAATTACTCAAAATACATTCCTCCCATATGGGCCCATTTTTGGGTAAAAATCTGCGTATTATACATGCAGTATTTGATTATCAGATGTATTTCCACTTTTCTGTATTAAGTCAAAAACACAAAATAACTTGTTTTCTTTATTTTAACTTAAAAATTTAACAAAAGGAGAGTGATTGCACTGAAACATAATATATATATATACTCTGAACATAACTTACTATGAACATAATGAAACAACATTACTCTTAACATAATTCAATAAATTAATGTAACACTTGACATAATTTACAATAGACATAATATGATATAACATTCCACCATCATTGTTAAAATTAAAGTAATATAAAACTGAACATATAGTTTAAATGACTCTGAATTAAGGACAGAGCTTGATGAACTATGAACAACATATTCAACAAAATATTCATCCCTGTATAATGAAAAAGAAACATAATATTTAACCAGCATAATGACTCTGATACACCATGTTAAATACCTTGACATCATTAGGCACTTTTCTTTATATCACAGAGAGTAGCGATGTGATTGGATTTTACACAGAAAGTTTGTAAACATTATGGCTTATTGCTGTCTGATTGGCTGTATTCTCTAGCATACAATTTAATAACTGCATCTACAAATGTCTGTGATTTAAAAAAGGGGTAATTTTGAAGTGTTCATAGCATTTATCAAGAATAGAAAATCTCTGTTCATTTGTAAAATTCGGGAATTCCCTGTAATTCGGCTGCTAGTCAGGAATGTATGTTCATAAATTTTTCACCATGATAGTTCATTATAACTATATCTGGTTTTTCTTTTACAATATTCTCTAACAATTCATCATTAACCTACAATAAACACAATGATTTAATCATGTACATACCATATATTTCTGAATATAATGCGCAAGCATGTATAACGCGCACCTGTTATTATCCTTCAGTATATCTGGGAAAATATCTGGTAAATAATGTGCACCCCCGGATTTTATCTAAGCTAAGTTTTGGGGAATAAGGCCCGAGTAATAGTAATATATATTTTAATATATATTTAAAAATGTCACTTACAAAAGAACACTTTTCAAAATCACATAAAACAAGATTAGGCATCTCTTCTGGAACACGATGTAAACAATCGCCACGAATATCAACGCCTACAAATATTAACTCTTTTAGGTTCCTGAAATGGAAATTTAGGGCTATAATTTTAAAAAAAACAACAACGTAGTTTAAGAGCCTTTCTATTGACATATTGCTATATTGAGAGCTGCACTGTGGGCTTACTTTTGACAGCATGGCATCATGTATTTTCTTGGAGAAGGATTCAAACCCTAAACGCCTAGTAGACGACAATGTCAATCGATACTGACTGAGCTCTTTCGGTACGGGGGCCACTTACTCAAAAAGCTTAGTACAATCAATTTTGACGAAAGTATGATTTCTCAATGTGAAATTCCAATAAAGTCAAGGTATAAGACTAAGTTTGATATTGTGAAGATGTGAGCTCAGGACGGACTTACCTACAATGGTCTACAATAGATATCAAACTTTTCTCCGACAAATTCCAGCACCAAGATAAATTGATACGTTCAATTTTACTACCACACCTGAAATGTCACAGCAGACGTCAAATTATACCACTTGGTTTTTGGCACAAATTAATTTTATGTAGTAGGATCTTTTTAGAATTATTATTAATATTTTACATAAATAATAAGAGGCCTCGACAGAAAGTCTTTTTAACACAAAGCTATTAAGTTTACACGTCAAGGGATCTGATTGACTGTTTTCGCAAACGTACAATCCAATCAAATCACTTCATTCTGTGATACACGAATAGTTGATATTGCAGTATAAGTGAGAAGTTCTTAATAGATTGACATTGTGAATATTCAAACTGATTAAAATGCACATATAGATGATCAGTTTTGTGTTTTTTCAACAAGTTTTGGTGACTGAACTCATCAAATCATCTGCGTTTCATTCAAATTTACATTTAACACGTAGCTAAATTAAAAATGAGTTTAAAACTTACTGTTGGACTAGAGAATGGATTGATTTATCAGATAGATCGGGACACTCGGACACATCCAGTGACCTAATTCCTGATAAATTACAGTTCTTGAAAAACGACAGGAAACCGGACGTTGAAAATTCTGGTCCTTTTCTTAATGTTAAATGTTGTAAATTCTCTAAGTTCTGAAAGAGAGACAACTTCATCAAGAGAAGTTTAAAAAAAGGAAATACTGTGGATTTTTTCAGGAACGGATATATGCAGATGAACCTGACTCCACTGGCTTCAACATACTTTCTAAGAAAAATGTCATGTCCATTGGTATGAAAAACCAAAATTTAGCGAGCCGATGCCACTGCTTGGAAAAAGTTTCCCTCATTGCCCACCAGATAGCATCTAAATAGGATCAAACCAGTGCAGAAAAGTGGGACATAAAACTTTATTTCAGGAGGGTAAATTTCATACATTCATTTTTGAAATGTCACAAAAAAGCAAGCTGTAAAACCCCAATTGTTTTCATATGTGACTACGGAATTGTATAAGCTGCACCCACCTGAAGATATTTCAATGATGCATCTGTTAACAGTTCACAGAAGAATATTTGTAAAGTTTGGAGATAAATACAAGTTGATACAAGATACATAGTATCATCAGACAGTTCTTCTCCATCTAATTTTAGAACTTGTAAAAAATTGCAATGTTTGGTTAACAAAACTTTCATAGACCTGAAAAAAAAAACAAAAACCTGTGGTTCCTGAGATTAAGAAATGCTGAACGGTATATGACAGCAAAAAGCTGATGAGTTAAGTTGTAATGGAATTGCAGGAAAAACAGACATGAGACTGAAAATTGGTGCCAATCATTGATATCAGTGTCCCCTATACATATAAAATTATTAGAAAACCTCTTTATAATCCCCTTTTAACTGTTTGACTATTGCAAAAGCTATTGAATAATGAGCAGCTTAGTTTAAGTGGAATTGCAAAAAACACAGACATCAGATTGAAAATTGGAATGGAACAAATTGATGGTATCAATGCCCCAATACACATACAAAGTTTAGAAAACCTCTTTACAAACTGATTGACTTACAGATCAGATATATATAGTATACCATTGACATCTAGAGAATGTATTTCATTTAATTGTCGACTCAAATATATCAGTTGTTGATCACTTAATACACAATGACTTAGATTCAAATGTTTTAATTGTTTAGCTTCTCCAAGCATGACCACAAAACGATCTCCAAAACTACAGGTACAGCCTTCTAGATTCAATGATTCCAGCTTTTCTAAGTTTTTCACTATTGTGTTTAAACCAATAATATCAAAGGTACAAAAGCCCAGATCTATTTTCTTCAGATTTGGAACCATGTCTGTGACAATTTTCAAAGTTCCTGAAGTAAGATCTTTGATATTTGACAATGTTAAAAGTCTTTGAGTTCCAGGAATTTGTTTCAATAACTGACACAAATCAACTGAAGACACAATTTCTAAGTTTTCTATATTCACTGAAGTCCATAATGTAGAGTCGAAGGCAAGATACGACCAATTTCTACACACCCTAGACACAGATGATAACAGGCACTTTTGAGAAACATAGGTAAATATCTTAATTGTCATTTCATCAGGAAGGTAAGAAAATGATGACTCTGCCATCTTGGATGATAACAACAAATGATCTGGTGGAATATTTTCAAATTTGGAATAATTTTCTTTTTCAGTTAATATTGAAGGATTTTCTCGATTCAAAAGAGCATCACTTTTGTTTTTTCGTGATAGTTGTCTCTCTTGTAAGTTTGTCACATCTTCAGATGAGTTTATGGCTAAATTTTCAGAATCCCAAGCAACTAATGGGTCACCTTGAGTCCTCACAGTTAACGCTGAATTTGGAGAACTGCTTCCCCAAGCAGATGTCAAATCTTCCAGATCAAGAGAGTCCATTTTTTGAAGAATCATTTCTGTTCCTTCAAGTTCCTGTATCTCTATACCTTCTTCCATTTTTTATCGCCATCAACATCTATAACATATCATGATGCTTACTTTTCCAACGGGTCCTAAAATAAGAAAAGCAGACAATGAATGATATACAGTTGTCTTAACATTGCTTGGCTGGCCAAACAGGTTCCCAACCTGGGGTGTTTTCACAACGTGGGGTGTGGGATTGATGTGTTTTGGGGTGTGGGACTGATGTGTTTTGTGGTGTGGGACTGAGGTGTTTTGGGTGTGGGACTGATGTGTTTTGGGGTGTGGGACTGAGGTGTTTTTGGTGTGGGACTGAGGTGTAAGGGGTGTGGCCAACCCTTGTACGAAAAGAATTTATCTTCAGGGATCTATATTCAGGACTTATGCTATGGTGCTTTTTTTTTAAGTGACATACATGTAGAGTAAAGTTAAATCTCTACGAGTACCAGTATTCAAGGGGTTAAAGCCAGACCTCTTTTCAAAATGCAATTCTGATGTAGGCCTACAGTTCGTCTACGGGCAGCAAAAACACTTATATATTGCCGATTGAGAAAAGGGTAGACGATAATCCAACTCGCTACCTACTGGGCTAGGTGGTTGAAGAGAAGTACTAATGTTGTTCATTCATGTCGATTTGACATTGTGTCCGATTTGACACCGTAAAATCATTCTATAAAAGTAAACTTTTACCAATTTTTTTTTATTTTAGTTTGTTATAGGTTTGTTTTCTATCATGCTGAGTAATATAAATGTATAGATGTATACCACGTTTAATACTGTAATCCGCAACTCAAGTGATTCAAAAATGAAATAAAAAAAAGCCAAGCCACACAAGCATTTCAGTTCATCAGTGACGATTTGATGTTGTGTCCGATTTGTCGTATGAAATTTCACAATTTCTATAAACAAAATTACTTTCTGTATAATTCCTTATCAGTTTTGTATCATATGGATCATATATATTCTAAATATGTTGATTTATGTTTTTAAAAAACTTATGTAACTTTTGATCTACTTTTGCGACATTCACCAACAAGCCATTTCATAACAAACATGGCGTCGTTGCTGAGGTCGCGAGTTTCTGTACAAACTTTAAACTTATGTAAGTATTTAAATTATTGAGTTGCAGGCGTAAAAACTGTCTGTCACACGTCTAATGATGTGAAGAATCCGACATACTACCATTTGATACCCTAATTTGTGATTTTCATTGAAAATTTCTTATAAAATGTGAGAAATTTTCAGATTTGAATTTAGACAGTTTTGCCCTTTTTATCACCAATGAGTGATGTTGATCTATTTTGATAATAATGTGCAATTCTTTTGTTATGCAAATGTATTCAATGTACAAAGCCAAATCGTTAAATTTTGTCAATGGTTGTGTAGAGAGAGTTGTTGTGTAACTGACACTAGTCAGGTAAGCCAAACTACACAGGGTCAAAGTCCAAACTAGTTAGTAGATTTAGCAGTACTTAGTAGTAGTTGCAAAATTAATGACAATTAGGATAGCCTTAGGCTCAATAGCCAACTAATTTATATTAAAGGCAAAAAAGATATTTATCCCTGAATGGTTGAGATTTCCTTTTTGCTTATTTGTAGGCACTTCTGTTTATCCATGCGCTTCAAAAAAAAAAAAAAAGTTGTAGAAGGTCCAATTTCTTTAGGGTTAGTTTAAGGGTGGGGAATTCATACCTCTTACTTTCAATCTTGATTACTGAGAATTTTCTATTTTTTTTTACTGCTTGTGGGCAAACGGAAGTGCTGACATAAAAGTGAAAAAGAAGCTCAACTGGTTTATGGCTAAATATCCACTTTGTATAAAAAAAAATACAAAAAGCCAACGACCCTTTGATTTATGTTGTCAAACTAGTTTATTAAGCTTATACTTATATATGAGATTCAAGATTTAACTATTCCTTTCAGTACAATATTTCATTAAGCATTGAATCTTTTTCCAGCACGCCAATGTTTGTCAGCCCTAACTGAGCGATGTCAAAGTACACAGCAATCCTACCCTAAAATTACCACACATTATACAGTTTACCCTAGAGATAAAGATCCAAGATGGAAAGGTAATATTTCAATTTTTACATTTCTACATTTTAGATTCTTCTTTGAATCATTCTAAATTCTTGATCCATTTTTCATGTTTTATTTTTTATATGACATCTTATTAATTAAGCTTACCTAAAAAATCAATTTTGGGGTGTATGTTACATATTAGAACCAGGAGTTGTCATTGTGTCCAAACTTATAAGCTTATCTTTAACAATTTCAGTTTTATAAGAAAAAATCAACTCTGTGACTTATATTGATGGTTACTTAATATCTGTGATTTAAATACAGTTCTCTAATTACTGTCTAGAATAGTTGACTTTAAACAAGCTTGACTGATTAAGAAAGTGTAACACAAAAGCTGTTATAAAGACCTTATCTATAATTTTGTTAACATAACTCATCAGTAAAGTTTTTGTATTTCCTTTAAGCACTAATTGTTCATTAATAGCATAGGTCAAGGTGGAGTGTCAAGTAGGTTTAATAGATATTTGAATTATTGATATTTCATTATCTCTTCACTATATGTTGAGTGTTTTAAAGGGATTCAAATTAGTTTTCATGCCTTTCTTGTGCGTTGAGGTGAAATTATAGCTTCTATGGGCAACATTTCTTATTAGGTATGTAAGTGGTACCTGGCTGCCATTTTTTAAGCCAACGGTTCCCTGATTGAGTTATCATGAAATAAAGGGCCTTACAGATCTCTGACTCAAATGGATAGAAAATACCCTAAAAAGTTAAATCACCACCAATAATTAAAAGGATGATTTGATTTCCAAGATTAATGCAAAAAAGTATTACAATATAGTTTGGAATATAGCACATGAAGATTTAATCCATTTATAAATGTTTGACAAGTCCTTAAGAGAGTATTAAAAACCAGGCCTCTTGGTTGGGCTTGTTTTCCGAAAATGACTGGCAAACCAGCTCAAATATCCGTTTTTGACAAGGGTCTACCAGACATCAAGGTAAGATTATGGGTAGTATTGTATGATATACACCTGACCCAGATATTGATCTGATTTCAGATATTGATTTTGAGAGGTTTGCAGATGAAGCTGATGTAGTAATAGTGGGAGGAGGACCAGCTGGTTTATCAGCTGCTATCAGACTCAAACAGTTAGCCAATGACCAAAGCAAGGAGTTACGGGTTTGTCTGGTGGAAAAAGCGGCTGAAATAGGTATGTCTTTTTGCTTCTTGTAGTTGAAGAGTATATACCTTGACAAAAGACTGTAGATAAAGAAGCACAAGATATATATATAGATACATAAACTGTTTGTAGAATTTGCCAATGTACAAAATCTTTTAAAAAAATAGAGACACACTATATCCAAAGATTAAAATGTTAACCTGGAACATTGAAGGAAAAAAAGATTCTATTTATGTGATTTTACTTTCAGGAGCTCACACTCTATCAGGAGCCTGTCTGGAACCACACGCTCTGGAAGAATTATTTCCAGACTGGAAAGAGAGAGGAGTGAGTAATTTATTTTTTTCAAAATATTTATATGTTTCTTTTAACTGTTTGTCTCGGAAGACCAAAGTCCAGTAGGATGTAAAAAATGAATTGTTGATATCTGATAACTGTTTATTGCAGGCACCACTTAAAACACCAGTAAAAACTGACAGATTTTCATTTTTAACTGAAAAAGGTCGTTTTAATATTCCTGTTTTACCAGGTAAACTGTTCTATTCATTAAATTATATCAAAGATAGTGAACTACTAGTCTCTGGCCTAAAATCCTATGTAAAGCACTATCTGATTTATGAAAAAAAGAATTTTGAAGAACACTTAAATGAAAGCAAAGTAGCTTCTAATTTAGTTCTGTTCAGTCTTGAATTTTGATTGGCTTTTTTCTCCAATTATACTTGATGTCCGATAGATCCTTAACAAAAACTGACATTTGAGCCAGTCATGTCCAAAAATACAGCCAAATCAACTGCCCTGCTTCTAAAGTATTGCTACCAACATCTTATAACTTGCTCCATGAAGTGAATTGGTTTGCTTGTATTCAAATTGAATTGAATATTGAATTTAAAAGATTCATGATTGAAAGAGCAATATTTTCTTGTTATTTTAAGGAATGCCGATCTATAACCATGGTAACTATATAGTTAGATTAGGTAATGTAGTACGCTGGCTGGGAGAACAGGCAGAGGAACTCGGTGTAGAAATCTATCCTGGATATGCTGCTTCAGAGGTATGTTTCAAAACAATTTTGATGTTGTAGTTTTTTTTTTAATTTGAAGGCCATGGTTTGCCATTTTATGGAGTTAATTTTTGTTAATTTATTTTGTAGGTTTTGTACCATGAAGATGGAAGTGTAAAAGGAATAGCCACAAATGATGTTGGAATAGCCAAGGATGGATCTCCTAAGGTAAAATTTCATTTGGTCATTTAATGAGTTTTTAAGATGTATTTTCAGTGGATGTTACTTATAGGCATGAATTAATACAATCAAACATGCAGAAAATCAGGTGTTTTTTTTGTTTTGTTTTTCAGGATATGTTTGAAAGAGGTATGGAATTACATGCCAAAGTGACAATGTTTGGTGAAGGTTGCCATGGTCACTTAGCTAAACAACTTTATAATACATTAGACCTTCGTAAAGATTGTCAACCACAGACTTATGGGATAGGATTAAAGGAATTATGGGAAATTGATCCAGCCAAACACGATCCTGGAAGAGTTGAACACACTGTCGGCTGGCCTTTTGTAAGTTTTATTATTTGTTCCATCAGTCTGGTTCTATAATCCTATAGATTTGTGAGTGGATGGAACATACATCGTATGTTTATATAGAAATGAATTAATTTTAAAGGTTTACAACTGGTTTTGTGGTATCACTCAAAGGAACACCAAGCCTTACATTAATATAATTAATGGTGAATCACTCAAATAGTGCTACTGTCTCTATACATTCGCTGGTAAAGTTTTAACCTGGATATTATCATTATATCAGTAATGAGAGTGTTTCTGTATTTTAGGATAAGAATACCTACGCTGGGACATTTTTATATCATCTGGGAGAAGACGCACCTCTAGTATCTGTTGGAATGGTGGTAAGTAGTCTATTGTCTCGTCATTTCATTTTTCACTTTTAAACCTTGGAGTTCAATAACTAAATGCTCTATAATTTCTCTTTCATGGCAAATTATGCTAGTATAAGCTAGGCTTAGAGCCAACCCTAATATGATGGTAAGGGTGAATCTAAGGGGTTGGGTTTTTCTGGGGCCCCAACCCTTAAATTGACTCTCAGAAAATATCATATATCTTTAATTTTTACATTCTATTTGCAGGTGGGTCTGGATTATTCCAATCCTTACATCAGTCCATTCAAAGAATTCCAGAGATTTAAGCACCATCCATCAATAGAACCAATATTCAGGGGTGGAAAGAGAATTGGGTACGGCGCCAGAGCTTTGAATGAAGGTGGATTTCAGGTAATTTTGATAGAAGACAATTTTGGATCTTGTATATTAACAACTCAAACTTACAGTATGTTATGTGATTTTTGAAACAGTATATCTGATTTGAATACTGAAAAGTGATTAAGATAGCAACAATTGAGGTATTTCAGTTTGTTAAGTAAATATTTGGTAATTAGATATGATCTCTTTAATGTGCTATATACAGTGTACATAAACTATTATTATGAGATAAGTACATGTAGATGATATTCTCAATATGACCTTTAACCTTGTTAATTATCAGTTCAAGGTCAGAATGTAGTTTGACTGTATCAAGGCCTCTGTCTCTGTATGTGATATAAGTAATTAGTAAATATTAGGTCAAGGATAAGTTAAAACAGCTCATCTATACAGTAACATTATGTCTGTACTAGTTTAGTCTAGTTACCTGTATGTTTGAATGAACCTGTTTAAAGGGATACAGTCCAGTTGTGGTTGCAGAACTTTATTTGCCTCTGCCACAGGTACATGTCCCAAGGTGGGAGATATTTGCACTTTTCTTTGGGGACATTTGATGTGTCACAGCTCAGTCACAGGCTGTGAAAAATAAAACTTTCCAACTACAATATATACAACATCTCATATGATGACTACACTATACACAGCCTAAATTAACATTGTCTAGGAGTACTCAGAGAATTATTACTATCAAACTATGTGAGAACGTGTCTGGTATCCAATCATAAATACGCTTTCGGTATTTGGGGAAATCATTTTCATGCTGATTCGATTTGGGGACACATTCAAAAACAGGTTGAAAACCACTGTTGTAAATAAAGGGCTGATATCTGGCATTATTGTCGAAATAGTTGCATTTCCACAAAGCAAAAATGCAAATTTCTACTAAAAAAAATTAGTAATTTTGGGCCTTTTGAGAGGGGAGAGAGGTCTCATGCCCTCTGCCCTTGGAGTCATCTTATTGGTTGTTTAAATACTAGTTGATAGAATTTAATATCAGCTAGTCATGTCACTTTTTACTCATTCCTCTTATAAAAGCTTTAGTTTTCCGCAATTTACAATACATGGTTTATGAAAATAAGGAAAATGGTCATAATCTGAGCCTTTAAGACTGGTAAATTACAAAACAGTGAAACAGAAGTTTAGTTAAACAGCTGGTAAAGCAAATATTTAGATTTTAAACTTTTGAAAAATTGTTAGCCCATGACGTCTTTTCTCATACAAATCTTATTCCATCATTTGGTCATACTTTTTGAATATAAACAGATTCTATACTTTAGAAATGTTCAGATTTTAATTACTTTTTTTTCACCATTTTTTTTCAGAGTTTACCGAAGTTGACCTTTCCTGGTGGTTGTCTGATTGGCTGCAGCCCTGGCTTTATGAACGTACCAAAGATTAAAGGTACCCATAATGCAATGAAGAGTGGTATGGTAGCCGCAGAATCAGTATTCGAAACAATTTTCAGCGAAGATTTAGTGGCTAAATCACCAACTATAGGTAAGGTTCAATTTATTTAATTCTTAAGGCATTTTAAAAAATTGAGTACAGAGTTATTGCCCTTGGGTCTGTCGTTATAAGTGGTTACGTAATACAAACGCTGGAATCGAACGTTAACTTGTCATCTACCTACCAAACCAATGATAAACAAAGAATATGCAACAATTAATTCATACAGCAAGGAAATCTTTTATTGAATATAGCATTTCATTGGATGAATATCAAATGATTCAGAACAGGAGAAGCATAACAATTTTGTCGGATCACTCATGGCAAGTGCTGACAATCAATTTTTCACAGAAACACAAAACTACACTTCAATATCTGTACTTTTATTGATATGATAACTGTCCAGACGTTGATATTGTATCTAAATCGTGTCTGCAACAAAAGATTTGCCATGCCTTGGACGAGATTTTGATCAACAGAATTGTCTTGCTTGTACTGATTATTATTATTTTTATGACAAGCTCTAGTCAACGAAACTGTATATTTTTTATTCAGGATTGAACCCCGAGAGTTATGAAGAGAATATAAGAAATAGTTGGGTGTGGACAGAATTAAAAGCTGTCAGAAATGTTCGGCCATCGTTCAATACACCACTAGGAGTATACGGAGGTTTCCTTTATACTGGTATCTTCTATTGTTTATTCCGAGGAAAAGAACCCTGGACATTCAAACATGGAGGTAGGCAATCTAAAAATTTTGAGTCAGGCAGTTAAATGGCCCTCAAACCATAAATGAAATGAAATGAATGGAGTTTCACATCCTACTTTTCTGCACCATGTGGGCTAATGAAGACGGCCTCACACCATAGTGATCACAAGTTGTGTATGGTAGCAACTAATAGTCATAAGTTTCATTATTGGCAACTATACACAACTGGTAAACACTATAAGGTGAGGGCACCTTAACGAGGAATACCAAGTCTGTAGAATATGATTTCTTAATAATTTTCGTATTTTTAAGCTAAACTTCTGGAGCTTACATTAGTGAGTGAGGTTAAGTTAAATGTCCAGTTCTATGGATCAGGCTTATCCTGGGTGTCCTGTGCTTCAAAATGTGTAATTTATAGATACCATGATAATCAGGAATTGAAAAAGAGTATACTATTGTCACAATCAAGACCAAATTTACCTCATTGTACACTGCATGACAGCTTCATTTACCAAATAAGGTTCAGAGAAGTATATCATAAATCTACATTGCGTATTTGTTTTGTTTTCTAGAACCAGATAATGAGAAAATAAAACCAGCTAATGAATGTAAAGTTATAGAATATCCCAAACCAGACGGAGAAGTCAGTTTTGATATTTTGACGTCTGTTGCGTTGACTGGTACAAACCATGATCACGATGAACCTATACATCTTACATTGAAAGATGATCATGTACCTGTCGATGTAAATTTAACATTATACGATGGCCCTGAACAAAGATTCTGTCCTGCTGGTAGGTTAAATTATGCTTTATATTGTTAATTGAGCCTGTAGGCAAGAGCTAAAACTAAACGATTGCTTTGAATATAATTTATGTCCTACTGTAATAAGATGGACCATAATACATTATTAAGTGAGCTAGTAGGCAAGGGTGAAGACTTTGGCATGACCCTGAATCTCCATTTCACCTCCATTGTTCTGAATATATTGATGTATAAATGCTAAATTTATGTTTTTTTTTGTAAATTTCAGGTGTATATGAATATGTAGACACTGAAGATGGACAGGGCAAACGCTTACAGATAAATGCTCAGAACTGTATACACTGTAAAACTTGTGATATCAAAGATGTCACTCAAAACATCAACTGGGTTTGTCCACAGGGAGGGGAGGGGCCAGCTTATAATGGTATGTGAAAATCGAAATGTCAATCAATCTATCAAGCCTCAGGGAGGGAGGAGCCTTTCTTGCATGAGAGAATGAAAAAATGTGGTGTGCTTTATCTTAAGAATGACAGTTCTAGTGTGTTAAAAATTATCCCCTTATTTTATTGAATGGACTCTTCCAAACATGCTTTGTTATGACATTAATATGCATATGTGGAAGAGTACAATGTTTAAGGGGGAAGTCAAGTCAACATGAACTCTATATTTATCAACAACTAACTGGCTTGTGTGTGGAATGTGTGATGTGAAAAAAACATTTGTGAAGATTTATTTATCAATTCTAGATCTCATTCTTCCAAAATGTCTGAAATTGATAATTATGAAACACATGAACAAAATTCAAAACAGTTTAGATTTGTTTTTTACCTTTAGCTTATTCTATTGCAATCTGTTTTAAATTAGACCAAACTTTCATTCCTTTTATGAGCTTTGATTATTAATTCAGCCATTCTGCCAAGCATCACAGTGATTCAGAATAGGCTTATTGTTATCTATACACTTCAACTGTTATGGTGTATATTTGTTGAATTTTGCAAAGTTTAGTTTGTTATTTTGAAGGTTTATTGAGCATGGTACATTTGCCTGGTATTGTTAGTAAAAAAAAAAAATCATTGTTTCCATACAATAGCAGTCTTTTTTGTTTTGAGGTAGAACAGGTATTCAAATCTTCATTGAGTCTATATCTACTTATTCTGCCTGACAATACTAGAGACTTTTAGTTTGTTTATGTTGAGAAATATCACTGAATGTGATACATAATTTCTACCAGAAACTAAATGGGTGTGTATTATACAACCATGCACGTTATATATGCAATTGTACAGTATTAGGTAACAAGACTTTATGATACAAGACTTGAAAGATACTTAGAAGTGATGAGTACATGAGCTTATTTCCATAACACTGTCTTGTGTTTGCGATAAGTCTTTATGAGCCTAATATTATGTATATAAGTGAGAAAGAGTGAGTTGTGTGTACAGTTATATTAATTTATAAATGTTAGGCAATAAATTTGTAAAATATGTTTTTCATTCTTAATACCAAACCTGTATCAGATACTGGAATAGCTATTGAACTCCCCTTAACTTGAAGAAAGAAACAACTATATGTTACAGATAACAACTTAGGGCTCACAATGAAGGATCCTTTCAACCAGCTTGTACTTAGTCAATCATCTTGGCATTGATCTTTCCCAGAATATCTGTACCCATTTTCAGCTGGTAGGGACTGGAATTATGAGTAAAAATGACTTAATCAAGTTCATCAGACTTTCATTTGCCTTTCTTAAAAATCCACAGCTACCGTTTGCTCAAAAATTGTGGGCCTGGCTTCTTCTAATCATTCAGTGCTTGAGGTGGGCCTTGCACTCTCAATCATTCAGTAGTTGAGGTAGGCCTTGCACTCTCAATCATTCAGTAGTTGGGGTGAGCCTTGCACTCTCAATCATTCAGTAGTTGAGGTGGGCCTTGCACTTTCAATCATTCAGTAGTTGGGGTGGGCCTTGCACTCCCAATCATTCAGTAGTTGAGGTGAGCCTTGCACTCCCAATCATTCAGTAGTTGAGGTGGGCCTTGCACTCTCAATCAATCAGTAGTTGAGGTAGGCCTTGCACTCTCAATCATTCAGTAGTTGAGGTGGGCCTTGCACTCTCAATCATTCAGTGGTTGTGGTGAGCCTTGCACTCTCAATCATACAGTAGTTGAGGTGGGCCTTGCACTCTCAATCATTCAGTGGTTGTGGTGAGCCTTGCACTCTCAATCATTCAGTGGTTGAGGTAGGCCTTGCACTCCCAATCATTCAGTAGTTGAGGTGGGCCTTGCACTCTCAATCATTCAGTGGTTGTGGTGAGCCTTGCACTCTCAATCATTCAGTAGTTGAGGTGGGCCTTGCACTCTCAATCATTCAGTAGTTGTGGTGAGCCTTGCACTCTCAATCATTCAGTAGTTGAAGTGGGCCTTGCACTCTCAATCAATCAGTAGTTGAGGTAGGCCTTGCACTCCCAATCATTCAGTAGTTGAGGTGGGCCTTGCACTCTCAATCATTCAGTGGTTGTGGTGAGCCTTGCACTCTCAATCATTCAGTGGTTGTGGTGAGCCTTGCACTTTCAATCATTCAGTGGTTGAGGTGGGCCTTGCACTCCCAATTATTCAGTAATTGTGGAGGGCCTTGCACTCCCAATCATTCAGTGGTTGAGGTGAGCCTTGCACTCTCTATCATTCAGTGCTTGAGGTGAGCCTTGCACACCCAATCATTCAGTACTTGTGGTGGGCCTTGCATTCCCAATCATTCAGTATTTTAGGTGAGCCTTGCATTCCCAATCAATCAGTAGTTGTGGTGAGCCTTGCACTCTCAATCTTTCAGTGCTTGAGGTGAGCATTACACTCTCAATCATTCAGTCGTTGAGGTGAGCCTTGCACTCCCAATCATTCAGTAGTTGTGGTGAGCCTTGCACTCCCAATCATTCAGTAGTTGAGGTGGGCCTTGCACTCTCAATCATTCAGTAGTTGAGGTGGGCCTTGCACTCTCAATCATTCAGTAGTTGAGGTGGGCCTTGCACTCTCAATCATTCAGTAGTTGAGGTGGGTCATGCACTCTCAATCAATCAGTAGTTGAGGTGAGCCTTGCGCTCTCAATCATTCAGTAGTTGAGGTGGGCCTTGCACTCTCAATCATTCAGTGGTTGAGGTGGGCCTTGCACTCTCAATCATTCAGTAGTTGAGGTGAGCCTTGCACTCTCAATCATTCAGTAGTTGAGGTGGGCCTTACACTCCCAATCATTCAGTAGTTGAGGTGAGCCTTGCACTCTCAATCATTCAGTGGTTGAGGTGGGCCTTGCACTCTCAATCATTCAGTAGTTGAGGTAGGCCTTGCACTCTCAAGTATTCAGTAGTTGGGGTGGGCCATGCACTCTCAATCATTCAGTGGTTGTGGTGAGCCTTGCACTCTCAATCATTCAATAGTTGAGGTGGGCCTTGCACTCTCAATCATTCAGTGGTTGAGGTGAGCCTTGCACTCTCAATCATTCAGTGGTTGAGGTGAGCCTTGCACTCTCAATCATTCAGTAGTTGAGGTAGGCCTTGCACTCTCAATCATTCAGTGCTTGAGGTAGGCCTTGCACTCCAAATCATTCAGTACTTGTGGTGGGCCTTGCATTCCCAATCATTCAGTATTTTAGGTGAGCCTTGCATTCCCAATCATTCAGTAGTTGTGGTGAGCCTCGCACTCTCAATCTTTCAGTGCTTGAGGTGAGCCTTGCACTCTCAATCATTCAGTAGTTGTGGTGAGCCTTGCACTCCCAATCATCCAGTAGTTGTGCTGAGCCTTGCACTCCCAATCATTCAGTAGTTGTGGTGGGTCTTGCACTCCCAATCATTCAGTAGTTGTGGTGAGCCTTGCACTCCCAATCATTCAGTAATTGAGGTGGGCCTTGCGCTCCCAATCATTCAGTAGTTGTGGTGAGCCTTGCACTCCCAATCATTCAGTAATTGTGGTGGGTCTTGCACTCCCAATCATTCAGTAATTGAGGTGGGCCTTGCACTCCCAATCATTCAGTAGTTGTGGTGAGCCTTGCACTCCCAATCATTCAGTAATTGTGGTGGGTCTTGCACTCCCAATCATTCAGTAGTTGTGGTGAGCCTTGCACTCCCAATCATTCAGTAATTGAGGTGGGTCTTGCACTCCCAATCATTCAGTAGTTGTGGTGAGCCTTGCACTCCCAATCATTCAGTAGTTGAGGTGGGCCTTGCACTCTCAATTATTCAGTAGTTGGGGTGGGCCTTGCACTCTCAATCATTCAGTGGTTGTGGTGAGCCTTGCACTCCCAATCATTCAGTGGTTGAGGTGAGCCTTGCACTCTCAATCATTCAGTGGTTGTGGTGAGCCTTACACTCACAATCATTCAGTGGTTGAGGTGAGCCTTGCACTCTCAATCATTCAGTAGTTGAGGTGGGCCTTGCACTCTCAATCATTCAGTAGTTGAGGTGAGCCTTGTACTCCCAATCATTCAGTAGTTGAGGTGGGCCTTGCACTCTCAATCATTCAGTAGTTGAGGTGGGCCTTGCACTCCCAATCATTCAGTAGTTGAGGTAGGCCTTGCACTCCCAATCATTCAGTAGTTGTGGTGAGACTTGCACTCCCAATCATTCAGTAGTTGCGGTGGGCCTTGCACTCTCAATCATTCAGTAGTTGAGGTGGGCCTTGCACTTTCAATCATTCAGCAGTTGAGGTGAGCCTTGCACTCTCAATCATTCAGTGCTTGAGGTGAGCCTTGCACTCTCAATCATTCAGCAGTTGAGGTGAGCCTTGCACTCTCAATCATTCAGCAGTTGAGGTGAGCCTTGCACTCTCAATCATTCAGCAGTTGAGGTGAGCCTTGCACTCTCAATCATTCAGTGGTTGTGGTGAGCCTTGCACTCCCAATCATTCAGTAGTTGTGGTGAGCCTTGCACTCCCAATCATTCAGTAGTTGAGGTAGGCCTTGCACTCTCAATTATTCAGTAGTTGAGGTAGGCCTTACACTCTCAATCATTCAGTGCTTGAGGTGAGCCTTGCACTCTCAATCATTCAGTAGTTGTGGTGGGCATGGCACTCTCAATCATTCAGTAGTTGAGGTAGGCCTTGCACTCTCAATCATTCAGTAGTTGAGGTAGGCCTTGCACTCTCAATCATTCAGTGCTTGAGGTGAGCCTTGCACTCTCAATCATTCAGTAGTTGAGGTAGGCCTTGCACTCTCAATCATTCAGTGGTTGAGGTGAGCCTTGCACTCTCAATCATTCAGTAGTTGAGGTAGGCCTTGCACTCTCAATCATTCAGTAGTTGAGGTGGGCCTTGCACTCTCAATCATTCAGTGGTTGAGGTGAGCCTGGCACTCTCAATCATTCAGTGCTTGAGGTAGGCCTTGCACTCTCAATCATTCAGTGGTTGAGGTGAGCCTGGCACTCTCAATCATTCAGTAGTTGCGGCGGGCCTTGCACTCTCAATCATTCAGTGCTTGAGGTAGGCCTTGCACTCTCAATCATTCAGTGGGTGAGGTGAGCCTGGCACTCTCAATCATTCAGTAGTTGCGGTGGGCCTTGCACTCTCAATCATTCAGTAGTTGAGGTAGGCCTTACACTCTCAATCATTCAGTAGTTGAGGTGAGCCTTGCACTCTCAATCATTCAGTAGTTGAGGTAGGCCTTACACTCTCAATCATTCAGTAGTTGAGGTGGGCCTTGCACTCTCAATCATTCAGTAGTTGAGGTGGGCCTGGCACTCTTAATCATTCAGTAGTTGAGGAGAGCCTTGCACTCTTAATCATTCAGTAGTTGAGGTGGGCCTTTTAAATTGTTGAAAAAAAAACACTAAAAATATAATCATTTTCTCTTAATTTAAACAATAAGAACACAAAATTATTTTATAATCCACAAGAAATTTCTACATACAAATCATTCTTGACAAAGCTTGAATCATTCTTACAAAACACAGGTAACTCTATAATTTTGAAGCGACATTTAGGGGTAGAGATCACATTAAATAAGGGGAACACAATTTTTATTCATATACCTTCTTGTTTTATATATTTAGGACATAAAACTCCATTCATTTCCTTTTATTTTGTTTTATTTATCCTTATTTCACCTGACGATGATAATGTAAATTGTAGAAACGTTGTGTAAAATAAAAACTCAGAAGTAGTAAACCATAAAATTGTGTTCTGTTATTTAATCGTGAATTAATATGCGAAGACGTGCCCTTCACTCAAGGCTAATCATTTCTTGTTACATCAGTTTTTGACAATCATTTTTTATTTTATCAAAACCTGACACAAAAGTCTGATTTAATAGTGAAGGGTCACATCTGGTCCAATAAATCTCAATCAAGCTATTATAATACAGATCTCTAATTCATAGTTAATGAGATGAAATCAATTAAAATTAATAACTCCATTCAAATTTTAAATTGTGGTCAAGGATGAAAGGATTAGCTGATGAATTGCATTTATACTTAAGCAGCGAATAGATTATGCTGTGGGTACACGAACTGGCGATGTTGGCGATGCGAATCTTGTGTAAAATACCGTGTGTGCCGAAATGATTTATAATATTAAATATGTTTGATATTTGTCACTGATTGTTCTGCAAAATAGAATGACATAATCCAATCAGATTAAGGTGATTAGCAACATAGTGAAAAAAGGACCGACTAGATATTTTTTATCTCCTCACCTGCTGGATTAAAACTCGACAAGACTCTTGTCGGTGACAACAATTTTCAACCAAGACTGTTCGAGTGTCTGCAGCATTAGATGGTATTCGGTGCAGGATTATCTATAATTAGTAATTAGAAGATGTGAATACACAAGGCACAGTGCAGATATGATTCACTTCTTCTATTTTCTACTTCATTGATAATCTCCCACCTTCATTTTCCCGTTTTATGGTTTCCAGTTCAAGCACTCGAGGTAAAACGCAAAGTTTAAATCGGTGAGAAATTAGTATTAATAGCAGGTGTCCATTTTATGACAAAAAATCTGGTTTTTTTTTTAGGAATCCATTGTAATAGGACTGTTTGACAGTCATCTCTGACAACATTTACCAAATTCAAAATATACAAAACAAACAAATAGTCCAGCTCAGTGGACTCTTTACATTGTTGAGCTATTACGAACTGCATACTTATACCTTGACTGAAATAGCAACCTTCCTTGTGACGCAGAAGTTTGTAAATGCAGTGATTTTAACGAATCATAAGCTAGCGGTTACAGCCTTTCAGAGGCTTCGACAGAATATTACATTAGAAAATGGAGCCAAGGAAGAAGAATATATATAACAGGCTGCTACACAGGCAAAAAAATACTTGATAAATATACAAAATGATAAAATGATGGATAGAATACTTTGCTGTAGTTTTTGTTTATCAACATATATAATAGAATGAGAGCTAATGGAAATTCTGGCTAAAAATATACCTTTAGGGTGTTGATCAGCGCCCATGGCCACAAATCTTTTTCATTCTTTTAGATTTTACTCAAATTTGAAGCAGTTATTAGGCTTTAATAAGTGCATAATTGATTGTATCAATGTTTCTGGCATTATCACATTAATCTTTAAATTTTACCTTTTCTTGATGCATGGGGCATGTTAAATTTGAGTAAAAACTAAGCTGAACATGAGAAATGTTTTGTGGTCCTAGAGCTAGGATCATTTATTTACTAATATGGCTATCAAGAAGGTTTGTGGTTTCATTCTATCTTAGTCTTGCTTGTATCTTAAAGACCAAGATTTTCTTACATTTCAGTAATTTTCAGTAGTTATAAAGTTAGATTTCAGAGAAACTTTTTTTCTCTGTCAATGATGCAGTATTGAAGAGCTAACATGATAAAATAGAATTTGGATTGAAATTTGTGACGCGTAAATCTCAATTTAAAAGAAGTCAGTTTTTAAAGCTGTCAATCAAAATGAAGCTTCAAAACAGTTCCCCATATTTGGTCATAAAAATGTTAATACACGTATTTAAGAAGTCACATTAAAAATAAGTCCATTTTAACAAAATCTACCTAAAACTCCATTCATTTCATTTCAATTTTTTTTAACCTTGTCATGTTTAAATGGAGTCCAGTTTTAAAAAGTTCAGATTTAGAGAAGATAAAGTATATTTTTAGCCAGAAATAAAGCAAATCACAGTTTGCAGATTGAAGTAATGGATGGAACACGTGATTAAAGTTTTTAGTTATTTTTCTTTTCTCCGCCATCTTGTTTGTGGTCTGTAGATTCATCTTCTGTATCCGTATATTCTGTAGCAGTTTCACCAGCTTTAAGTAATTTACCAATATATACATATTTTTCTGAAAAACACAATATAATAATATAAGCATTGGAGGGATGGAGGCTACATATTTAGTTTCCTACCTAAACGAGCTCTTTTTCAGCTACACATACCACTTTTAACTATGGTTCAATTTTACACAATGTTCCAATAATTCAATTAAAAAGCATTGTCCATTGGGACAAAACTTTGTTCCCTGTTTACTACATGTATAGTGTAAAATTCTTTTTTTTTTTCATTTCAATAATTCCATCAACTTTCTAGAATTCAATGTTTTACTAATCAACATAGTATATAACTGTGTTTCCACTGAAGAAAAAGCCGGCTTTAAGCTAGCTTTTGTTTGTTTTCACTGGGCTAATTGCTGAAACGTTACATTTGGGAACCGAAAACCTATCTTTTCGCATTCAGCAATTTATCGAAGGCCAACTGAAAGCTAGCTTAAAGCCTGCTTTCACTTAACCAGTGGAAACAAAATAGCCAGCTAGCTTTACTTCACAATTCTCAATGGAAACGCAAAATGCCAGCTAGCTTTATTTCACAATTCTCAGTGGAAGTCTGGTTATTATTAAATGAGCAGTCTGTTTTTATTATGACTTTCAATAAGAATAAAACTATACAGACAGAACTTTGATGATTTATCTTCAATATAAACATAATTATAGAATCACATATCTTCAACCTGTTGACCCTCAGTTGACCTTTATAATTAGGGTAGACTCTTATCTTTCTCAATATACGTGGCATTTTGATTATTTTCTCATAATTTGGGGACAATTATCAATTTCAAAAGATTGTGTGTCTGGAGCTATTGACTTGGCTGACTTGACTAGTTTTGTCAATTTTCACTATAGCTAAAGCCAAATTTGTATATCACGTCTGCGGAACTGAGTACATTTTCACAAAATCTAGCTATTATAAATTGATTGCAATAGCCACCTTTCTTTTAACTTTGAAGACTGAAAATGCAACGATTTGATTGGATTTTATGCCAGCCAATACTGTATTAGTTTATGTACAAACCAACCAAATCACTGCATTTACAAACCTGTGATAAAAGAAAGGTGGCTATTGCATTAAAAAGTATGACGAAGTCTGAAACAGCTTGACATTGTGAGGATGCCTGGCAAGATGAAAATTGATAAAAGTCATACCTGTAAACTGCATTTCCCATTCTCTAACAGAATCCATCTGCATGCTGTTTAAATCACTTAAATCATCATATTCATCTCGTAAAGATTCCTCTCCTAACGAGAAGGTAGCTAGAGCTCTAGACGCATCACGACCCGAAAATAAGCCATATGGACCACCTGTAATTATCAAAAAATTTAAAAAGCTGCAGCTCAACAATTTTTGTCATAATTGTTATGTCAGAAAACTTTTGGAGCAAAGTGCCTTGCCAGGTGAGCTTATGTATATAACAAAAAGATAGCTTGAGAGTTCTAATCTTTTTTCATTTTCAACACGGTGCATCTATAGGGGATAATAAACAATTTCACCAAGTTTCGTCAAATTAGTAGAGAATTGTGCCTTTTAACATGTTCACAAGCTAAAAATTGAACTTGTTTCCAAGAGCAATTACTCATTCGATTTTTGATAAAGTTCATCCCTGGGTGATTACAAACATTTGAAAATTGTGCCTTCAAAGGTGTTTACTAGTTAAAATTGAACACGTTTTCAAGAACAAGGTCAATAACTCATACTAAATATTTTTGGGATTTTTCTGATTTTCAATTGGGTTCATCCTTGGGTGATTACATAACATCAATTAAAGGGACAGATCCCTCATTTTCAGGGGTTTTACTATTACTAATAAGCTTAGCTAAAAAAGTTTCTATAACTAAGGTAGGATTTTTAAAAAAAGAACTAGGTCTTGATGTATAACAAATGTGTTCCTTATTTATATATATATATATATACCCATCCCCTTCAATTCAACTTTGCCAGCACAATTTAAAGGCATTGTTAGCAGTAATGTCACCAAGTTACCAATTGAATGAATGAAGGATAGATGAATGAATTAAACAGATTACCGGTACTATCTTTTTCAAGACTGGGGTAATAAAGATAGGCAATAAATCCCATAGAAAAAACTTTGAACAGGCAATGCCTATAAAATGAGATATATATATTATTATTATATATTATATAACCTATTGGCAACAGTTTGTAAGATCACAGTTAAATGGCTAATAAATATTTCATACTATGTTTTTATCAAAAGACTAATATTGACAAGGAAATAGAGATTTCAAATTTCATTGTGATCTAATCCATTCAAGAAATTTAATGAGCAAGCCTAAGCTTAAGCCTTTTTTATAATACTAATCTCTGACTAAACTGCTTTATGAATTGAATTTTGGAAATCTTTTTCATATGAACTGAAACATCAAGTACTACTGAGAGCTTTTGATTGTCAAATCGCATAAAGTAGAAAATTTTATTTTCAATTCCGGTACCGGTATTTATGAAATGAGAGAATAAATTCAATTCAATGTTCAATGTAGTCAGACAGTAATCTTATTTCTCGGAATAAGAAAATGTAATAGAGATAGAATATTGTCAGAAGAAATGGCCAATGATCCAGTCAGTATCAAATCCCTCAAATAAAAGTCCTATTGCTTTAAAATATGGATGATTTTGATAACTCAGTAAAGACTAAGCTTATTCATGATGTGACATCAGACACAGAGTAAGACTAATTCTTGATTCATGATAAAAATAAAGGCTTCTTGTATCAGGTGTGGTCAAGGCGTGGCCAGTCGACAAGTTCGATATATGTAAAGTTGCTATCAATATAGATGCATATGGATACCAATAGTTTTTAAAAGCTTTTTCAGCCATTCCAAATAGGGCAAGCTGCGAAACTATAAGGTTTAGTAGAAAGATGTGGCCTTTACTTTAAGTTAGTATTGAGTTAGTATTCAGTGGCAGAGCCAAAAGGGGGGCAGAGGGGGAAAGCGCAATCTCAGATATCTCCCCCCCTCAGGACGTGAACCTGGCTCTGCCACTGTTAGTATTGGCTGTTATAGTTTAAGCCTAAAGCTTAGGGTAAGGTGTAATTGTAAGTAGGGGTGTTTCTTGACAAACTGAGGCCCTAGTAAAGTTTTGACAAAAATATTGGGACAGATTCTCTAATCTGATCAAAAAAAAATATGGTCTGATTAGGCTAATTAAGCTAACTCTCTGCTAAAGAATATAAAAAAAATCTCACACAAAATTACCTGGACCATAAAACCTCTTTCCTTTCGTCACATCGAAAACTTTACCATTCACAGCTATTAATATTCGTCCATCTTTCCCTCTACCGTCGTACTCTCTCAACTGTTCCAAAGTAAAGTCTTGTTTTTTCAGTGGGGGAAGCTCTGGTTCTCGTTGAACTGGGGGCGGAGTCCGTCTGCCCGACACAATTTTATATAACAAAAAAGCACAAACACCTAATAAAGTAATGTTCAAGGGGCTGCTAAATAATTCAGTTAAAATTCCCATCATGTTACTTGAGTTTTCCTCTGTAGTCGTACCTTGTGATGAGTCCGCCATTTTATTAAAGATTTCGACGTGTAGGTTAAAGTTCAAGGTCACAACTGCTGGTGGCCATCTGACGATACATTCGAAACTGTGTCGTTTTCGACCGCAAAAATACTCCAAAATCAAATATTTGGTTGTTCTATTCAAGTATTGAGTTGAGATTTTAGTTCGAAATTTAAAAAAAACATTGAGCTCTGAATATGATTTCATTTTTTGACATGTAAAAAGCTAAAATCCGTCTACGAATGGTCGAAACACTTTTATGTGATAGAGATAATTTTCGTACAAAATTTTAGCAGTCGATTTCGTTTATTCTTTAGGAATTACAATTAAGGGGAGCAAACTCTATGTAATCAAATTTATACTACGTACCAATATAAGTTATCTGACTTTAAAAGCTTGTAAAAGGAAGAAAATCTTCTTTTATAATTACAATCACCAGACAACAGACAACTAATTTAATAATTCTTTATAGCTCTCTTCAGTAGGTCAAGCCCATAATAAAAATTCATTCTTAGTTTAAAAACATAAAGCTCATACTCATACACGTACTGCGGTTTTTTTTTTTTCAAAATTGAAAGTTAATCATAAAAGTTTAATACTCAATATTACTAATTTACAATAATGAAATAGGATTTGAACAACATTTAGAAGTGGAGAGTAGATATACCCCTTGTGTTTTTTGTTATATCTACTATAATGAACTACAGACCTCTCTGTATATGAAGATACATGATTGTAGGCTAATAAATGCTTTGTCTTGAACCACTGTTAAATAATTTTCTCCAAACATTTCCTACCAACTGACAGATCAATTTCAGCTGTCTGCATCAATTTTTAGAATTAATTACTTCAAAATCCTGCAACTCTTAATGTTTTTATTCAATTTGACCAGTTGACAAGTTATTATTCCCATTGTAAAAAATATTCCGAATCACTCAAGTTTAGTTTGGTTGAATCTAATTAGTTCAGATAATTATAAAGATACGACAAATCAAATAATTAGGAGAGGATATGAAGTTGTTTCATGATGGACTAAACGTTGACTGACATGTACAGAATTTATGGTCCAAGCTGTGAAAGTAGCCATCATGGCACAGAAAATACCAATAATACACATAACACAACAGTTTATTAAGATTTCATTCAGTCAAGACAGGAATTGTAACAACCAATGATATATGAACAATTCTAAACCAGGTTAGGTTTAAATAAATCTGATTGGTTATTTCGGTGAAAATTCAATGACAGAATGAATTTTAATTTTTTGGCATATAAATATGACATAATAAAATAAAAATCTGTAAAAATTGCAAATTTTGGTTGCAGTCCACACACTACTATATTCATAAATATAAATCAGTAAAAAATTAAATATTTAGTTTTGTTCATTTTTGACCTGAAAATACATCATATTTATCAATGAAAACACATAGCCAATTTTAAGGGTATTTTTCAAATTATCAATTTTACAAAAATTCATGACAAATCTGAATTTACATCCTAAATTGTGCATCCTAAAAATTCTCACAATATAAATTGTTGAAACGTTACGTACAATAAATCTGAATAAAGGGACAGTTGCGCCATTTTTTTTAGCTAAGCCAAGCAGTAATAGTGTTCACAGCTCACCTTCGAAAGTTAAAAAGACGAGAGACACTGCCACATATAGAGAAGTCATCTATAGATTAGAAATAAGAAAATTAATTCCTAATTTGAGATATTTTTGAAGGAATTATGCGATTTTCGTACACTTCTAATGACTATTTACATATATTTCAGACTCAAATCAACCACCAAAATGGCGCATCTGTCCCTTTAACAGTATACCATAAAATTATGTTCCGCAACCGTAAGAAGAACACTACTCTGATCAAGACCATTGAATTGTAGACATAATCTTTGTAATATTGTTCAATATCAGGCCTATACATTTGACAGAATCAAACCCTCCCTTCTTCAAAACCTAATCATTGCTTAAATATTAGCTTACAGTTTGTTAAACAATAATACTTTGGATCCTTTGTGTTTGGAATGATATTTAATATGGTCTCGTAGATCTCCGCCATTTATAAACGAATTGCACAACGAACACTTGTAGACCTCGTTATGACTGTTAATATGAACTTTTAATGTCTTAAAATCCGGGAAAGATTCCAAACAAGTGGGACATTTCATTGAGGCAGAGCCTGTAGTTGATTTCTTCGTTTTGACACCTGTCGATGAATCTGTAGCTCCTCCCATTGATGACTTTACCACACCTCTAATCAAAGAATCGGGTGCTCCATGATATTTTTTCATGTGCTCATTGAGATTGACCATGTCATAAAATGTTCGCGAACATGAAGCACATTTGACTGGTTTTGAAGCAATGTTCAGAGATACTTGTGGAAGGGGTGGGATAGCTGACAGAGACGGGAGAGGGGGAAGGTCTGGGAGGGGTAGTGAGGGCATGTCTGCCTTCATCAAAAGATTAGAAACAATTGAAGAAGGATCATCTGGGGGTTTCACAGCTTTCAATCCATTATTGCCACTTTTAAATACCACTGGAATTATCTCCCCTGAATTCATTTCTTCTGCTTCTTCGTGTTTCTGTAGTTTTATTTCATGATTTCTCATATGATTTTCGATCCCGTGTTGAAACCTGAATGCTTTATCACAAACATGACAATAAAATGGTTTCTCTCGTGAATGATTTTCTATGTGTGATTTCAAACTCCCTGGCCACTTGAACATTTTACCACAAACACCACACGGTAAATTCCTATCAAAACTATGAACTTTCACATGAGATGAAAGAGAGTTTTTGGAGAAGAATATTCGCCGGCAGATCTGACATTCCAAATGTTCACGTTCTCTGTGGAAATGGTACCTCAGATGACAGAGGAGAGAGGCTTTGTTTTCGAACATTATCAAACCACACACAGCACAGGCCAGCAGTTCTTCAGAATCATCTACAGGGTTTTTCTTCTTCTTAGCAGATTTTCTCTTTTTTCTTTCCATGTTGGTTTTAAAATTTTTGATTTTCTGCAAAAGTCTCTTGCGTTAAAATTGCATTGAAGTAACTCGCTCTTTAAGCTAACAGAATTAAAAAGGTATACCATGGAACAAAAAAGGCTGAATCATTCATTTATAAAAGTAGGGACAGAAGACGGGGGCCATTGCAGTGATGTTTGAAAAGCATTAGCAACAGCTGAAAGACAGGATTCTCACAATCTGATTTATAATCATTGAGCTATATCTGACTGGATTGCATGGTCTGGATCATGTTTGATTTTTCCTGCTAAATGATTTACTACACATATCACCATAGTTTTAAAAACTGGAATACTTCGCAATTTAAACTATCTCACAATCTGGTATCAATTCCATAATAATTTCTTCGTTCACAGATCTAAAATAATGAAATATATCATGAAAAGTACAAATAATAAAATCTAAATTTATTCACAGACGAATCGTCTTGACGATTTTATGTTTGCACGAAACGTCTTGCGACTTGAAAATGTCGTTTTACGGACCTATTGCTGACATACGAGTTACGGCGCATGAGTTTGACAATTTATTGAGGGCACACTGTAACAGCATCAATTATCATAACATCACAATCATACCCATTGTTTAGACGCAAGGAAATCTGTCAAAATAAGCGGCGAAATATTTGTCAACAATGAATAGTACCTACTTCCGGTTCTCAGTAAATAGAGACCGTTCGTACCGCATTAATTTTCACTATACCAGTTCGTACCAACCGATACATCACTTTCTTAATCGACATGAAAAGATCATTATCTATATAGTGAATTTGGAGTTCTAAATCCTGAATTTCAATGTAATATTTCCATAGAATAGTCCTGAAATAACACCATGGTAACATTACGCCCCATTCTGCAGGCGATCGTTGTTGCTTTTACGAAAGGGATTTCGCAAAAATTTCTAATGATCAAAAGAAAGAGTAAAAAGTATGAGTTAAATTTCTAGAAGTCAGACTTCTGAGCAATCAGCAAAGAACAAAATACATTTGATTTGGGTATTGAAACGAAATGGAGTTTTACGTCCTAATCTTCTATTCCTAATTGAAATAATGAAATACAAGACACCTGAGCTAAACAAATTAATTTTGACTATTAGAGATCTAGAAACAATGTCTATTGACTATACAGACAGAGAATGAATGGTTGGTGTTGCCTTCACGATCATCAGAACTCTGGTCAGAGAATAGTCTCCAATTTCCATTTCATTACCATTTTAACGAAGGTCAACAATGAAACAAAGGCATCTTATTGTTGTCTGTTGATGAGTTTTGTTTTTACATTGTTGATAACTTAATTAACTCTCGACGATTATAATTGACTCCATGCTTAGATATATTTTTGTGTTGTGTGTTTGGGTGTTATAGAAGATACTCTACCATAGAAGCACGGGTCAAGGTCTCAAGAAGAGAACATACTCGCTGGCCCTGAGTTGGCCTACGGAGTACGATATCCACCGATCTACTTTTCTGCACCATGTGGGCTTACTATGAAGGCGGGCAACGCCATGCAGGGTGCAATGGGGGACATTTTGCCAGGACAGTGGCATTAGCCTGCTCTCTTTCGATTTTCAACTGTCGAGGGATCTTTAACGTTCACAGCCTGTAGCACACAGGGCCTCGGTTTATTGTCCCATCCGAACGACTAGACGCTTTTTCCATGTCAGCCCCTCTTACCTGCATCACCGCCAGGGGAAAACCAGGTTGAAAAATCCGAAGGTATTATCTCGACATCGGGATTGAACCCTGGACCTTCAGGTTAGCGAGCAAGCGTGTAACTTACTGAGCTCACTGGGCCCTGGTGGAGCAAGAAGGTCAAATAATAGGGGATGTGAAAGTTGAGATGTTTCTGACTAATTCAAAATGACCAATGACCACCTTGATCGAGACTATTACGACACAAACTCCAAGAGACTGTTACGATTCCTAATTACCATGACAACGTAATTAATTATTGCTTTGATTACCAAGGATACCAATTAGAAGTCTTTCTTGTTAAAATCCGGGTTAATAATGCCGAATCTTAGATCAGACTTTTCAAATTGTTACCAAGGTTTCTCTAGAATCTCAGATTATGCTAATTCTTGTTCCATTAAAGTGATACGTTCCACTAAATATATTTTATTAGACATCACGTCACTTACTGATGTGTTCATCATTGTTGGTGAGGTGGTCGAATTTGATTGAAAATTTAGGAGAACATGAAAAATATTTTTACCACAGAAAAGCATCGTCTCAAACACCTGATGGTACTTCTCTTAGGAGGAGTCCACTACTATACAACTTTTACTCCCGATTGTGCCATATTGGACGAGATTTTGATTAACGGAATTGTCTTACTTTTGCGGATTTTAATCTCATTTGCAGCAACTTGTAATTTTCCGTAAGCTGAATGAGAAGAGTGGTTGTGGAACTTTCACTGCTTGCTTTAGTTAGGCCTAGTTTCCTCCTGTCAGTGATGCAGATAAGAGGGGCTGACATCGAAAATGCGACTATAGTCGTTCGGATAGGACAATAAACCGAGGCCCCATCTGCTACAGGCTGTGGACGTCAAAGACCCATTGGAATTTGGAAATCGAAAAAGACCAGTCTAATATCGCTGTCCTGACAAAATTTACCTCATTGCACCCTGTCTAGCGTCTTTATTAGCCCACATGGCGCAGAAAACTATGACGTAAAACTCCATTTATTTCATTTCATTTTCTAGTGAGGCCTGACAATGCCAATGATTTATTTCGAGTTATTTCTCGGACAAATTGACAAACGAGATGACAAACTGTCCAGTGTCCATCAGAATCAAAGACAAAATCCACCTTAATTAGCAAAATAAATACTCATATCACCTTAATTAATTAGGCCACGTCATCAGGCCTAATTACTGGAATATATACTGACCTATTCCTGATAGAAACTAGGTCAAATTAAATCTAAAATGGATTCTGACTAATTGCAAACAAATGACCGTAATAAGGAATTACGTGGAGACATTTCGTCATGTTACGAAAATGATCAGTAATTATAAGTGGGCTATAACAATATTATTCTAGGGAAAAGTCCAGTCCATATTGAGGTCAAATAAACTATATTTAAATGAACATTACAACATCATAAGTAGACTCTAATGTGGCCAGTGATTTGCTGTTATATAACGGAATAATCGGACTAATATTGGCTTTTATATATTTGGTTAGGCGGGACATTTCAGAGGTAATGTCGAGATAGAAATAAATGAAGGTTTACATTCTACTTTTCTGCCCCTGTGCCCGAGGACAGGCAATCGGGGAATCCAGCCCATAAAATTCAAAGATTTAGATTAAGATTAATGTCGAATTTGAGCCATGGACCTTTAGGTTAGCGCACACACGCGTCTTGCTCAGTGAGTCAAGGCGGTTCATAATGATAAAAGGACAAGAAAAAGAATATTGATATCGCAATCGAAATCCGTATAAAAATACTGAAGACCTATTGGGTTTGGGGCTGGTTTTCCCGCATATGTTTCGGTGGTTTTCTTTCAGAACATTCAGAACGGTCGAGTCCCCTTCCGCCCCCTCTCCGGTAGTAACACTACTGCTACTGAAGACCTATTGGGTTTGGGTCTGGTTTTCCCGAATATGTTTCGGTGGTTTTCCTTCAGAACTTTCAGTGCGGTCGGGTCCCCTTCCGCCCCCTCTCCGGTAGTAACACTACTGCTACTGAAGACCTATTGGGTTTGGGGCTGGTTTTCCCGAATATGTTGCAGTGGTTTTCTTTCAGAACTTTCAGAACGGTCAAGTCCCCTTCCGCCCCCTCTCCGGTAGTAACACCACTGCTACCTAAGGATTCATAGAAACTCCACTAATAAGGGGCAGTGAGAGCTTCCTACAGCTCCTGGTGTCCCCAGACGGTGCCAACCCTTTTCTGTATGTATTATATAAGTCCACTAGATTATAATATTTAGTATCTAGTTGTATATAGAAGGAATGTTTAGTCTATAAGAGTGTTACTGTAATAGTTATAGAGTTATAGTAGGTGAGAACAGAGGTACAAAGTACAGATCGTTAGGACGTACTGACATACACCTTTATTGACTTTATTCATGACACATCAACATTGTGAAATCGAACAGTAAAGAGAGTTACACGGTGTTCTTTTTACATCCTGGGTTAGGGTAATACAATGCGGTGTGCAATGAGGACAATTTTGCAAAGGTAGCGGCCTTTACCTACTCTTTTCGAAACTTTGTAAACTGTCAATGGTAAATTAACGTGCAGAGTCTGAAGTACACGGCGAGTTGGCTTATTGTCCCATCCGAACAGGAAGTGACACGGCACTATCAGTCCTTAACAGCACTATCTGAAAAACCTTTGGTTGTTTTGCTGTCCATGTTTATACCTCTACTCCTATGAAATTGCATCATATCTTGAATGAAACATGCACAAATGGAACAATATACACCTTTTCGGGAAAAAGACATCATAGGGACTTTCCCTTCAATTGATATATACCTGTGTAGCTGATATATTGACCAGATGATGACGTAATAAATGGGTTAGTCTGTCACTAGTTTCTATGGTACTAATAACTTCAATCGTAATACCAAATACTAAAATATCACGACTTAATTAGTTATATTAACCCAAACATCAAATTATATACTAGTATTATTAAAGGTGTAACTACTCATAATTTTATGAGATGAAATTTAAATTGGAGTTTACGTCCTACCTTTCTGCACTCGATTGGTCATATGAAGACCGACAACTCATTGCAGTTTGCAATGGGGGAAATGCACTAGTATTAAAGGTGTAAACGCAAATTATTCTATAAATCTAACATCAGAATTGAAAAGAAATGCGACAGAGTTTTACGCTCAATTTTCTGGATCGGATTGGGCAATGGGGGACATAATGCCAGGACAGCGACAATTGCCTTCTTTATTTCAATTTTGTACTTTCGAGGGATTTTTAACTTTCATAACACACAGGAACTGACTTATTTTCTAGAACGCCTAGATTCTTATGCTGAATGCTTTCTGCCAGATTGTACATATCGGTGATAGAATTTTTCTTTTCAATTTAATGGTACAAAAACTAGGCGCCAGTTTTTAAAATCGCTGATATAACGTAAGATTATGATACAAATAACTTAATACGGAATTTTTCATGATTCATGAAGACGAAAAAAGATTTTTTTCTTCTGATTTTACCACCAGAATCAAGCCTAGTTCGATTCAGAAGAAACAGGAAATTAGTCTTTACATTCCCTTTAAAATAAAGATGAAATCACTAATCAAGTTGATGGTACTATCTTACTAATAAAACAGTATTTAGTCTTTATCTCGACATTAAAGACATTGAACCTTTTTACTTGTCTTTTTCTGTTGTTTTCCATTTATTTCCCTGTGACATATTGGACAAATGTAGTGGACACACGCTAAGTAAAACCACGGTGGTTGATTAATGATAAACAGTGTCCTAATATCATTTTTTGTTTTATATTTCAAAATAAAAAAAAGTGTTACTCTGATGATTGCGTGATGTGCTCGTTTTTCCGGGTGGCTCTGTGGGTTAAACGTTTGCTGTTCTACCTATTGTTCCCATTGACCTCGATTTTCGATTTCTGGGCCCTTTTTCTTATTAAGTGATCAAAGGACATTCCGCTTTTTGAAAAATATTCTCATAATCAAAAACTTTGTAAATTAGACCTATAAATATTTCTAAAATATGCTACTTATATCTATGTATCCTCTTGATCAAACAGAATTTGTTTTAAAAGGGTCAATTAAAAGCGGAGGGTACTAATTGTTAATTATAGGCAGTTTGGTGTTTGACTTTTTAATGGCTCGTTATATTTAGTTGAAGCCTGTAGAATACGTGGGAGACATATTTCTCTACAATTAGGCGTCCAAAAAGCATAACAATCTTTATAAATATTTTTGGCTTTTAAAAATTAACGGCTGGATTATTTCAGTTAAAACTTTCAGATACGTTATAAGGCCCATTTCTCTAGATTTTGGTGTATAATTTTCTCAAATTTGAGCAAAAATTTCAAAAAAAGCGGAATGTCCCTTTAAGTTAGACGGGGCTGACATGCAACAAGTGTGCGATTGGGACATTGATTATAACAGGCACTACACGTTGTAGAAAAAGAGTGGGCCATTGCAGATGTCTTTCTATTAGGTATAACGGGGTGAAAGCTGACACCGGGCCGACTCTCGGAAGCACAGGCATAGGCACCTAATAGCTTAGCAGATAACAATCCAACTAGATACCGACTGAGCTTTTCAATTGCCCCGAGGTATTAGGGGGGGTTTATCTTTTATCGTATAGGATATCCCAAGGTTAAATATGATATGCGGTATAAATCCCCCCCCCCCCCCCCCCCCTCCATATCAGGAATATCTCATCCTGGAGCAACAAAACAGTTCGTATATGTGAAACCGTATTTCAACCATTTTTTCTATGGTATATGATATTAAGGTTTAATATGATTATGTAGTATATGTCAGTAGATATTAGACCTGATACAATTAGTTATAATTAATATATTTTATTAACACCTGATTCACCTGACCTAATTAACTACCAGAAATCAGGTAACATACCGGAGACACTTTCTCTTCTCATTGGCGTAAAACTCTATATTTTGAAAGTACAGTATGGAGGGCCTAGAAATCGTTTTAGTAGTCAAATACGGTACAAAACAGGATATACAACTACATTTCATTTCATTAGCACGATAAACAAGGACGTCCCGTGACGACAGAGTACAGAATATTGGGACACAAAAGCCAATTTCATTTCACTTGTACAATCATTAGTAAAAAAATGCGGGTTCATTAGTTCAGTCAGATTCGGATCCCAATTTCACTTCAATTTCTTTAGAAGGGTATGATGTAAATTCCATTTCATGAATACACGTGTGATGTTTAACCAATTACACCTGTACCAAATCATGTGTACTAAAGTGTACAAATATGATCCAGTACGCTGCATAACATAATGAAAAGTAGGACAAATCATGGCACAGGACGTAAATTTCCGTTTCATTAGTAGGTAAGGGCAGAAAGTTCAGTTTCAATGGAAGGTACAAGACGAAAAGTTTCATTTCATTTGAAAAGAAAGGGTGTAAAGTTCCATTTCATTATAGAAGGTACAGAACAGTAATTCCATTCTATTAAGGGCGTAAAGTTCCATTCTATTAAGGGCGTAAAGTTCCATTCTATTAAGGGCGTAAAGTTCCATTCTATTAAGGGCGTAAAGTTCCATTCTATTAAGGGCGTAAAATTCCATTCTATTAAGGGCTTAAAATTCCATTCTATTAAGGGCGTAAAATTCCCTTCTATAAAGGGGGTAAAATTCCATTCTATTAAGGGCGTAAAATTCCATTCTATTAAGGGCGTAAAATTCCATTCTATTAAGGGCTTAAAATTCCATTCTATTAAGGGCGTAAAATTCCCTTCTATTAAGTGCGTAAAATTCCATTCTATTAAGTGCGTAAAATTCCATTCTATTAAGTGCGTAAAATTCCCTTCTATTAAGGGCTTAAAATTCCATTCTATTAAGTGCGTAAAATTCCATTCTATTAAGGGCTTAAAATTCCATTCTATTAAGGGCGTAAAATTCCATTCTATTAAGTGCGTAAAATTCCATTCTATTAAGGGCGTAAAATTCCATTCTATTAAGGGCTTAAAATTCCATTCTATTAAGTGCGTAAAATTCCATTCTATTAAGGGCGTAAAATTCCATTCTATTAAGTGCGTAAAATTCCATTCTATTAAGGGCTTAAAATTCCATTCTATTAAGTGCGTAAAATTCCATTCTATTAAGGGCTTAAAATTCCATTCTATTAAGGGCGTAAAATTCCATTCTATTAAGTGCGTAAAATTCCATTCTATTAAGGGCGTAAAATTCCATTCTATTAAGGGCGTAAAATTCCATTCTATTAAGGGCGTAAAATTCCATTCTATTAAGGGCTTAAAATTCCATTCTATTAAGGGCTTAAAATTCCATTCTATTAAGGGCGTAAAATTCCATTCTATTAAGGGCTTAATATTCCCTTCTATTAAGGGCGTAAAATTCCATTCTATTAAGGGCGTAAAATTCCATTCTATTAAGGGCTTAAAATTCCATTCTATTAAGGGCTTAAAATTCCATTCTATTAAGGGCGTAAAATTCCATTCTATTAAGGGCGTAAAATTCCATTCTATTAAGGGCTTAAAATTCCATTCTATTAAGGGCTTAAAATTCCATTCTATTAAGGGCTTAAAATTCCATTCTATTAAGGGCGTAAAATTCCATTCTATTAAGGGCGTAAAATTCCATTCTATTAAGGGCGTAAAATTCCATTCTATTAAGGGCGTAAAATTCCATTCTATTAAGGGCGTAAAATTCCATTCTATTAAGGGCTTAATATTCCATTCTTTTAAGGGGTAAAGTTCTATTGCATTTGAAGGTACAAAGGGTAAAGTTTCATTTCATTAAAATGTACAGAACAGTAGAACGTAAAACTCCATAAATTTAATTTCTGTCGAACCATATAAAACATTAAGAAGAGATAAAGAAAAATGGTATTAAGAAATATGATATACTAGTATCATCTATATTAATATATTTTAATCTGTGGTCCGTGAACTGAAACTGATATGTTAATTTGATCCTCGACACGACTGTTATTGTTAAGATGTTTTTAATCTCTATGTTGTGTACATATACAATGGTATTTATCTTTGTTGATTTTTTGAATGATTTACCAGTAGCCTCGTGCCTGTCCAGGTTTAAATTGTAATTTCTGGAGGTTAAGATCTATAATATTTCTTCAATATATGAATTTTTCTCCAATATTTCTAATATTATACTTATTGGTATAAGGGTTTTGAATACAGTCACGTGCAGTGTCATGCCAAAGTTGTAAATTTGAAGAATTTAAGCCATAAACATGATATAAAGTAATAAACTTTGTGTTAATTAAAATTGGAAATATAACTATTAGATTTTATATGAAAAGAAATGTTGAAAATCGAAGTTATTAAATTTACTGACATGTAATGTATTCATTTTACATGGTATTTATTTAGTGATTACCAGTGGTGTATGGTTGTGAATAATGAAAGTGGTCAAGAGTTCCGAACGCAACACACAAGGCGGTTACATGAGAAATGCGTTCGAAACTTATTCCAATCATACGCATATGAAAGAGGAAAGAGGCATGATTCGTCAATTGAATTTTAGGACAAATAAAATATCTTTATTTACAGAAAATAAATTATCACAACAAAATCACAGATAAATGAATACTTATATCAAATAAATCAAAAAGTCATAATAAATAAAATATAAATCATAATAAATAATAAAAAATAAAAAAATTTATTTCAATAAAAATAAATACTTGAAACGTCGATATTAATACTCTTGGACTCCAGATATTGATAAGGGATTAAAAAAAAGAATTTGACGACAAAAATTTCGACATTTACAAAAGTTAACTCAATTTTCATGAATATTTTTAATGAATTTTCTTCAGACTTTAAAATCAATCAATTCAAAAAGCATCTTATTATGTCTCGACTGTTTCGACTGTTTATAATCACATCAAATCAAGGAATTATATACTCAAACACACAAAAACTACTATTAATAGATGTCCATTTTACGATTTCATTTTCTTAAAAAAAATCAAAAGAACCTTCAATATAGATAGTTGTTTTGTTTCGTTTTTTTCTATAAGTTGCCACTTTCTGTTTGTTAAGTTTTGTCACCCATAGCGTTTGATTTTGGCAAATTTTGCAAAATATCAAGATCTGTATTTTGATGAGGTTGAGATTTACTGTAAAAGTTTGGAATAGAAGAGGTATATACGGTGTACGGTGAACGGTGTACGGTGTACGGTGTACGGTGAACGGTGCAGTATTATCGAAACAGAAGAATATAGAAAGAGTATCTTTACGAGGTTCACGTCCCGATGCGAACACGATTAATTGACTCCCTTCTAGTTGCTATTGTATCAACAATCCCATACCGTATTCCACACCGGATAGAATAACCTGTCTTCCCCTTCCCCCTTCTTTATAAAAATATCAAGATCAATCTTCAAAAAAAGTTATCTCACCGGGATGAAATAAGGTGATTGAAATAAATTGTTTCACGCTTTGTATTATTTCACAATCTAGCACTTTTATTTAGTTCGGTACGTTTTCGTTTCCGTAACTGTAAAGTTTTCTATAATTCACATATTAATAGAATCCATTATATATATATATAGCACTTATTTTACCATGTCTGTTTGTGTCGCTTTTTGATGGTAAGTTTGAAGTTTTCTCCACCTGGAATGAAAATATTTTTTTTTAAAGAATATGGTTTGATATCTTAATGTTACACGCTATGCGATTTTCAGGGATTGCAAAGAGGTTTTCTAAACTTTTTTATGTGTATCGGGGACACTGATAACATAAATTTACACCATTCCAATTTTCAATCAGAAGTTTTTGGTTCCTGCAATTCCTCTAAAACCAAGCGTTTTATGACGTCCCTATCTGCTAGTCTGCTATTGATAAGGACTTTGCGATAGTGATGTTATAAAGTGCATAGTTTTAGTGTTAGTGGAATTGCAAGAGCTATAGACGCCTGACTGAAATTTCAAACGGTGCAAATTGATGCTATCAGTCTCCCCGATACACATAAAAAGTTTAGAAAACTCTTTACAATCCCTAAAGCAACCCATGGTGACGATTTCTGAATATGATTTAATAAAAATGTTTTTATATGAACTATTCAGCTATGGAGTATATGACATAAATACATAAAAAAACTATATAAAGATTTATTTACCTGTTAATTGACGCCGGGAATTCGTACAAACCAAATCCAAATAAACTTCCTTAATCCAAAATATCTTAAAACTTGAGTCAATGCAGAAAGAAAAACATCTCGAGTGGAGACTCGCCTTATCGAGTTCATTTCATCACCGATCTTTCTTAGAGTTCCTGCAATTTGTTGAATTTTTGCATTGGTATCACAGACAGCTTGGTGTCTTCTGACGATACTTAACGAGTTGGCCATTTTCACGTTTTCTCTCCGAACGTCTTGGATTTCCAAATAATTGTCCGAACAAGTTTGTAATGACATTTCCCGAGCCGTGTACATATTTCTTATTATAGCCATGTCGGAAAGGTAGGAAGAATGAGTTGATTTGATTGGTTAAGAGAGTGAATACAGTGATTTGATTGGTTGATGTGCTATGATATAATGATAGTGTAGAAATGTGTGTTTATCAATACTGTCAGTTTACAGACCGTAAAATCAATAACTGTTCGCTGACCAGTGGTCAGATAGAGGCAGTAAGGACCTTTAGATAGCCATTCAATAGATATTGATTCGTCTTATAGCATCAGGGATGACAATTTATTTGGGGGAAGGGGATGCGAGGTATCTTTAGACCGTATTTCAGTTGAATGGAGTTTTAAATCCTACTTTTCTGCTCCTAATAGGCTAATGATGAAGGACAAGGACAGTGGCATAAGCCTACTCTTTTTCGATTTCAAACTAGTTCAGCTAGAAAGAGCTTGTCTTATTACATTTTCTGTGTGCTAAGAATTGGGATGTCTTTTTGGTGGGTGTATGTGTCACTTTTCAAAAGGATTAGTGATTTTATTATAAGCTTTTATTCCTCCGCATATGAAGATTTACAAAGTGTATACAGTACAAGTTATAGTTATATCAAAGTAAAATTTTAGTACTTGATTAATAAAATTTTACTTAATATGATATAACTTACTTAGAAACGAAGCTGTCAGTCAAAATGTCACGTGATGTAGATATTCCAGTCTACTAGTGGGACCATGCGAAGAAATTCAAAGACGAGCCAGCAGCAATTCTTGGATATCTGCGTTGTATGATTCTGTAGACATTGAACGTCTTTCAAAACGTTCCTATATAATCAAATCTGAGAAAGATCAAGAAATATTACGGAATTTTTGTTATTTCTGGATACAAACTAGGTTAGATTGGATAACTATATTTTTATAAACCCGGTGTTAAAAGACTCGTTTTAATTCTACTAATCAGACTTATGTCACTGTCTTTATATAGCTTATATAATATTCTAACAAAACTATTTTAACCAGCCTGGGTTTCTCACACCCAACTGAACCTTAGTCTACTACCCGAATTCCACTATTATTATTGGCCAGGTTCCAATATTAACTGTCGGATCGGGTATTTCTAATAATAATTTGGGTAATGATTTTTTAAAAAGGGACAGAAAATAACAAATTAAATTCCCGATATCAAAGACAGTAGGAAATTTCATTTCACAAGCCCAATAAGAACCGTGTGATATTTTATTACATCAACCTAATGGACAATAGGACAATTCATTTCCGCAGCTCAGTAAGATACAGAACCGTGTGATATTTGATTCCATCAGGCCAAATACAGACAGATTATCAATTTTGTTCCGTTATAACTTATATGTGGTGTTATCACTTTAAAAAGGATCCGGACTGTTGGTAGAGTTGGCTTTGCTATATCTTTCAGTGTAAATAAAATGTTTTACTGATCGTGACCCGGGCGCAGAGTATAACTGACAATCTTTTGTTGCTTGTTTGTAGCTGGTTTTGGCGAGTTGCGGACGGCTTTTGCTACACAGTGTATGTGTGCTTGTTGTTCTGTTTCGCTGTTGTTTAATGCTTGATGGGAATTCCTGTGTGTGTGGGTTGTGTCGTTGAGAAGGGTGGTGCTGTATATCTAATTAATTCTTTATTTATTAATAAATTATCTATTTAATTATTGTATTTTGTGTATATATTATTTAAATTATGATATCCTGTACATCTGGTGGCCTTGTACTTGATATAAGCAACGTAATCTGTTCATCTAGTATACAATGTACTTGTGTATTTTTAAACAATTTGTAGCCTACATCGAAAATATTGTGTAGATTTTTTATTCCTTGGTGAATTATGCATTTGGTATGCAACGGCTTGACACCACATGCTGTGAATCGCCAGTCGTATTCAGGTCACCTTCACATGACACACCAAGCTTTGTGTCGGGAACGGACCGGCCTGACCATTATTTACCTATTACATGTTTTATTATGTATCATATAACTTGAATAAATATGCCGGGAGCTGTGGGACAGATATGTTATAAGAAGTAAACATATATTTTGTAACAGATTTGTATTAAAATTAAACGATTATACGATCATAGGGTCTGAAATAGAATAAAGGAAATCGACTGCACCAACGTCTTGAATTGCCTACAAATACCAAATGGTAACTGAAAGGTGTCAAACCTTTCTCAAAAAATTCAAGAGATCTTACATTAAGCTGACTCTTGAAAAAACCCGTATGTCTTTTATTGAGAGGGAATGGATGTACAAATTATGATACCTTATCGCCAAGCAGACGACAATCACATCCAATTGGCTATCTATAAACCTAAGTATCCTGCACAAACCGAATCCAGGTTTAAACGACAGTTATGGTCATCGTCCAAATCTATAATTAACTAAGAATTTTGTATATAACACAGTTTGTTTATTAAACACCTGCATACTGCCCCGCCTTCACCCTCGCCCGGTCATACCACCCAATTTAACCCTTACTTCTCCAATATTAACCCTCGTTCCACACAACTGGTCAGTTTGTAATTATATAGTAGCAATGAGATGTCTTGAAGCAGTGCACATAGGGTTAAAGTTGTGAGATACTATTCGTTTAAACACGCCTTATAATTAGTCAATTAGCTAATTAACGGAGGCTATATTAAGTAGGTCAAGCACGTGCATATCCGTAGGGCACAATTGCTAATGTACAGTTACTAATCGGTCCCATTTAGTCAGTCCGTTAGATTTTTCTAGCTCTTAAACAATCTGTGGTCCCTACCTCTCCTGAGAGAAGCACCAAACTTGTAATAAAAACAAGAGGCAGAAAAAGCAGGACACAAAACACCCAGATTTGCATCAGATAACCTAATACGTGTACATTACTGTATACTGTACATATAGATATCAGTACCATAATAATAATATTAGTACCCCCTGCCCTCAAGCCACAAACCCAATAATATACTACTAGGTCTACCAAGTAATAACAATTAAGATAATGATAAAACTTTAATAGTAACATTAATAATGTAATAAATAATAGAAAAAAATAGAAAAAGATTTCATCACAATTCAATAACACGTAGAATAGGGCAGGATGTAAACAGGGGGGTAGGTCAGTACAGGGGATGCAGCTGTAGCAGAAATGGGGAGCAGGGCTTGGCAATTTTCAATGATCAGACCTGTTTAATGAAGATTTCAAGACTCTTACTAGATTTGTTCAAAAGCGATGTAATCCTACAGCAGGGTGCAAAAGAAATAATTATGTTTTCATGCAAAAAATCCCGAGATCGTCAACCTTTACAACCCCAGAGCACTTTGCGTTTAATTGGAATTTGTGGAGGCACCTTTAAGTAACCTCCATATATCAAATGATATGCTACTTAGAGAACTTATTACAGACTTTTTACTGTATACTTTGGTAAGTTGGTTACCATATAAATTGTTTCTAATTTTGGCTCAAAATAGCTGACCTAATTAATATGCACATGCATTTAAGCTTCATGTTATCAAATTCCAAAATAATTTTCTTCTTTTACAAAACTTTAATAGACGAAATTATTAACAAAACTTTCCTTTCAAACTATCCACAAATGCCAGTGCTTTCTGTGTAGTATTTGACTTGACCTATTTAAACCTTATGTACATGCATACACATAAAGATATTATCAGGAATAATTATAATCATTAAATTCAAAAATATATTCTTTTACTAACTCTACTTATCAAAACATTCCAAACTTCATTTTAATTAGAACAGTTTGGGAAAATATTATGCATAGTTAAAATCAACAGTTGAATTTACAGCTCAACTGTTGTCTGTCTGTGGATTCTGACTTTCAGTAAGCAGTTCTAATTCCACATACACTTAATTTCAGATGATTGTAATATCATAGTAAAGGTGGTGTCTGGTTCAGTGTTCAGTATGGTACAGGATTACCAATACAGTAGATAATAGTAGAAACATATTATCATGTCTGCAAAATGTCTTGACCAGTACCTGAATGATATATTCACCTCTTCTATTTTCAACTGTATTACTAATCCAGCACTTTATACCTCAATGGATATGGTCTATACGCACCTTGGTTGATCATAAGATGTGATTCTTACTGTAGTTCTATAATCAGTTCAGAATCCAATCCAACAGTATTCTCTAAGTGAAGATACCATAGCCTTTGTATTTTAGAAAATCGAAAGTAGAGAAATTGAAAATACAAAGGAGTTTCTCTTGTTCCATCTTTACAATGTCAATCTATTACAAACTGTATCTTATACCTTGACTGCAATAGCCACCTTTCTTGTTGATGGAATGATTTGATTGGATTGTTCGCTAGCGAATACAGCCCATGACTGAAAGACAGTTAACAATCAAGGGCTATGATTGGCTATATTTGGTAATGTACAACCAATCCAATCACTACATTTATTAACTTTTCTGATACAAGAAGGTGGTTATTGCAGTCAAGGTATAAGACACAGTTCCTAATAGCTTGACATTGTGAAGGTGCTCTTGTTCCATCATAGTATTTTGATCAAAGAGACATGGATCACATTTACAAGTCATTGAGTTGCAGCCACAACTTAAACCACCATCCAAACAAACTTTCAAACAAATAAGATTAACAGATAATTAGAACAGAAACAAACAAGTTTTGATTCTTCACCATTTTAAAAACTCTTCATCTCATTTTTAACACATGTTCTATATGTATTCCAGTTTCCTTGTGTATGCATCAGATGAGACTGAAAAATATAACAATAAAATCTAACATGGTGTTTACATACTAAACTATTTAAAAATGGAATGAATGTCTTTCTGTTCTCTATCTTATTGGACTAATGATAATGGGGTTTTAAGTACTGTACCTGCATTATTGGACTAATGAAATGAAATGGAATTTTATGACCTACTGTTTTCTATCTTATTGGACTAATGAAATGAAATGGAGTTTTATATTCTACTGTTCTGTATCTTATTGGACTAATGAAATGAAATGGAGTTTAATATTCTACTGATCTCTACCTTATTGGACTAATGAAATGAAATAGAGTTTTTATGTCCCACTGTTCTCTATCTTATTGGACTAATGAAATGAAATTAAATTTTATGTCCTACTGTTCACTATCTTATTGGACTAATGAAATGAAATGGAATTTTATGTCCTACTGTTCTGTATCTTATTGGACTAATGAAATGAAATAGAGTTTTATATTCTACTGTTCTGTATCTTATTGGACTAATGAAATGAAATGGAATTTTATGTCCTCCTGTTCTGTATCTTATTGGACTAATGAAATGAAATGAAGTTTTATATCCTCCTGTTCTGTATCTTATTGGACTAATGAAATGAAATGGAATTTAATGTCCTACTGTTCTGTATCTTATTGGACTAATGAAATGAAATGGAATTTTATGTCCTACTGTTCTGTATCTTATTGGACTAATGAAATGAAATGGAATTTTATGTCCTACTGTTCTGTATCTTATTGGACTAATGAAATGAAATGGAGTTTTATGTCCCACTGTTCTGTATCTTATTGGACTAATGAAATGAAATGGAATTTTATGTCCTACTGTTCTGTATCTTATTGGACTAATGAAATGAAATGTAGTTTTATGTCCTACTGTTCTGTATCTTATTGGACTAATGAAATGAAATGGAGTTTTATGTCCCACTGTTCTGTATCTTATGGACTAATGAAATGAAATGTAGTTTTATATCCTACTGTTCTGTATCTTATTGGACTAATGAAATGAAATGGAGTTTTATGTCCCACTGTTCTTTATCGTATTGGACTAATGAAATGAAATGGAATTTTATGTCCTACTGTTCACTATCTTATTGGACTGATGATAAAAAGTTTTACACCCTACTGTTTAGCACCATGTTGGACTAATGAAATGAAAGGGCAGCATGTCCTATCATATTGTACAGCAACAGCAATGTGTCTAATCCAACTGTCAAAGGGATCTATGACTTGAACAGCGAGTAGCATACAGGGCCTGGATTTATTATCCAATACAATGACTATGATTTTTTCAAAACAATCATAACCAATGGGAAGAAAAGGGTTGAAAAGCCACTGGACATTGAGAAGCCAAAATATAAATCATAAAAATTCCTACCCTAGAGCCACGATGGAGCCTATCTTTCATGATAGAGATAAATTCCTGGTGGCTAAGATGGCCGTCCCCATCAACATCGAAAATCTGAAACATGGTGTTTACTATATGTTCCCCTAACATAAAACCTGTACAGATTTTTACTGCTCTGTGGAAATCTTCTGCAAAATAAAATATAACATATTTTAGGCTTTAGGCCAACAAAAAGTGCATTCCAAGAAGCATTAGACACCTAATCAACATCCCTTCCTTGTCTATAGAATTCATGTAATTTGAAAATTTTGAGGCATTGGCCAGACATGACTGGCATCTACCCCTATCAAGAATCCTGTTCCATACCTTGAGAGACAGGATGATCAGCGTAGGTATATAACTTCATAGCAATTGAAAAATCATCCAAATTATTCAAAAACTGACAAAACTGTTTAAAATCTTTAAATGTTATTCCCTGAAAGAGTCAAATATATGTGGTTTATTACAATATCTTGATGTCCTATTATTGTTTATTGTATTGTTACTATGCCTGGAAACTATGGAAACGTATATATGAAACATGTTGCACTATGGGTTACTATATACAGGTTAGTAATAATAACATATTTAAGAAATATAAATTGTTCCTTCATCCTAATGATTCATAAACAAGTGGTTGCCTAGAAAGATATGCCCAGTTATCTGATAAATATTCAGTGTATCAAGGGCTGTTATCTATCTGCGTCAAATGTCACATTTCATGTGTGTCTGTCCCTCAGGAAGGGGGCCTTTGAGCTCTTGAAACAAGTCGAACTTTAGGACTAATTAGTTTTTTCTATAGTAAATTATTTTGTTGAATGTTTACCCATATGTTGTGTTAAAGAGTATCCACATCCATCTAAAAATGGACCAGTAAAAAAACTGTATGAAATGGTTTGTGTGTCTTCTATTTTATTAAACACATTATAAATAAGATCAATTTGGACCAACCTTCTCCTCAGGAATTCTCTCTGTAACTCTTTCTAAACATTGATCTATTTCGGTGGAATCATATTTCGTATAGCGTAGTAATATTCTAGCAAAATCAACTTCTGATATAGTACTCATTCCTTTAGAAAACTCTAAAAATTCCAACTCAATTACTTCACTCTGGAGGTTCTCCATAAATCTAGACGAAATATAGGAAAAAAATGTGAACCTGATACAAAAAATTATTTTCAACATGAGAAAAATGTTAAAAAACCTCAACTTTTGATCAATTTCATTCATTTAGAAATTTGTTTGAAATTTGTAAGAATACACCTAAGATGTTAAGTAGCAACAAACTCTACAATTCAAGGGAGACAAATCCAATTTTTATAACAAGAGAAATATTCATTTAATTTCATTTCAGCCTTACATTAACTAATGCAATATTATAGAGTAGAGAAAGCCAAAGAGCTGAAATGCAGAAGGCAACTTTAAAATTAAAGGGGAGGAAATCCAATTCTTGTACCTGCAAAAATCATCATATTTCAAGACATCTTTTCCATTCTGGCCAAAGAAATGAATAAGTAGAGTTGTGTCTTGTACTTCATTGATGACTTCCTATAAAAAAATATTATCAGACCACAATTAATATCAATACGATGTACACAGACTGACAAAGATATCTGAGAACATCAGAATTCTGAGAAAATTTCCAGGAATTAGCAAATATTATTGTTTCATTGGTTACAAAATTTTTTATTGAAACTAAACATGTAGTAAGCCTTCAAAAAATTTTATCTATGATTTAAATTTATATTTCATGTTGAATTGTTTCTGAATTTGCTGAATATTAGTTCAACTGGAATCTGGTCACGGTGTAGGTATAATGAATTGAGTTTCATATCCTACTTTTCTGCTCATATGGGCTGATGAAAACAGACAACGCCATGCAGTGTACAATGAGGAAAATCTTGCTAGGACAGTGGCATTAAATTCAAGAAAAGGAATATGACATCTCAAATCAGTTAGAAACAATGTTTGAAAAAAATTCAAGATTTGAAGACATTACAAGAAAGATTATGATGGTTCCACATTTAAATATTTAAAAATTTAGAAAGTTAAAAAGTACAAAAGACAACAAACTAAATGTGACAGTTAAAAGTGAATAATTAAACCAAATGAATACAATAATCTAATGAATGAACCCAAATTAACAGAATTAAGGGTACTGGTATATAGATCTTGAACTTATTCAATCTAAAGGCTGATAGAACTCTACTTTTGTCATCCATAAATAGGATGCAAGGTACATGTAGAATAAAATACAAATGATTCACTATGGCTATACATATCACTGTCTAAAATGAACATCAGATATAAGTTCTTGCATTATCAAATAAAAAAAAAAAACAATGCTGTAATTCCTCAGACAAAAGTTAATTTTTTGAAGATATATCATTATCTCCCCTTAATAAGACTCTAAAGTAAATCTGAAATCGTGCTCTATCAGCTGTTTAGGTAAATAATGGGATACTATATTCTAATTTAGGGCCAGTTTCTTGAAAACTTAAGATAAATTCTATTTAAGCAGAATACAGTAATTTGATTGGATAACATTACCGTACTCAATTTGGAATTGACTTTAATGATTGACCAATCACACTATCCATTTAAAGAAATATAGTACTTTGATTGGTTTATGAAACTAAATTTAAAATCAACTAAATGATTGACCAATCAGATGACCAGAACACTAAAATTTAAGTTTTCCAGAATCTGGCCAGAGTGAAAATTGAAATGATACTAAAACAACAATAAATCTGCTAAATTTCTACTTTTTCTAGAAAATAAAAGTCTAATACAAAATCCTACCAAATTCACTTTATATAGGCTTAGAAAGAGAGGTGTTTATTAGTATACATCTTCACAATGTCAAGCTATTACGAAATTCCTCTCATACCTTGACCGCAATAATCATCTTTCTTGTTTCACTGTAGAATGTAAATGCAGCGATTTGGTTGATTGAAGATTAGCAAAAACAGCCAGATTTTTCCATGGAAAATTTGTAAACAATAAGCTATAATGTTTACAGTCTGTCTGTCGAGGGCTCTGATTGGAAGTATTTGCTAGTGTACAATCCAACCAAATCGCTGTATTACTTGACACAAGAAAAGTGACTATTGCCGTCAAGGTATTAGACGAAGTTCGTAAGCTTGACATTGTGAAGATGATCAGTATGGTGATATAAGTCTAGTGTCCATTCAGGTAAATATTCCAAAGAGTTTTAGTTTTTCTACAGGAACGAGTCATGAATTGCCATGCAGTGTACAATGATTTTTTTAAGGAACTGGGACGAAGGAATTTTTCATGTGTACATTCAAATGACAAGCTGGTTATTCCATGGTAGTTCCACACCAATGTTATGTATCAGAACACTACAGGATACTACTGTGTGACATGAGAGCGCCCCCTACCCTTAAGTGATATATCAGAACACCAATAGTGAAGTAGGAATACCACTGTGTAAGAAGTGACACCCTAGTTACCCCTTCACCTACTCTTGAGTGATATATCAGAACACTACAAGAGGAGAAACACTACTTAAAATACTTGCCCCACTCCCTACAAGTGACCCCACTCCCTACAACTGCCCCCACTCCCTACAAGTGACCCCACTCCCTACAAGTGACCCCACTCCCTACAACTGCCCCTACTCCCTACAACTGCCCACACTCCCTACATGTGACACCACTCCCTACAAGTGACCCCACTCCCTACAACTGCCCCCACTCCCTACAAGTGACCCTACTGCCTACAAGTGACCCCACTCCCTACAACTGCCCCCACTCCCTACAAGTGACCCCACTCCCTACAAGTGACCCCACCCCTATATGATTTATCAGACTACAGGTGAAGTTTAGAGTTGAAAGCTGAAGCAGTGAGTGTATCTGATGACAATAAAGTGAATTTGATAGATAAAATATAATTTAACATACATTGACATCATTTAACTTGTCTACCTTGGATTCAGACTGCCTGCTGAAGACTTGTTCCAGCTGCAAATATTAATAGAAATATGCAGACATATATCTGTTAAATTAACATGCAAGTTAATTACATGTGCATAAATTAGAATAAATTAAAACAGCATCACATCATACATATTTAAAATTGATCCCAAAATAAAATGATTAATTGGGAAAAATAAAAAAGCAAGACATACATTCATAAGATGAAATTTTAAAAATTAAGAATTAAAAAATTATATCTTAGGGTTCAGTTTTATATCAATACTTACAAATATATTATATATTTAAGGGTAGGTAATTCCTGGGGGTGGGGCGGTGGGCGAAGGTAAGTAATAAAGACACCCTCTCCATACAAGGAATTTGGATGAAATGAGTAATGTATCCCTAACCCAGCATGAGGCTACATTGAAAGCACAATATCAAAGCATTCTGGTTATAATTTGAGACAAAACAACATGGAGAAAGACATCTTCACAATGTCAAGATATTACAACCATTGTACCTATACCTTGACTGCAATAGTCACCGTAATTGTATCATGTAAGTTTGTAAATGAAGTGATTTGATTGGCTTGTAAGTTAGTGAATACAGCCAATCAGAGGTTGTGAACACAAAGTCATAACGTTTACAAGCTTTTTTTCAAGGACTCTGATTGGGGTACAATCCAATCAAACTGTTGCATTCTGTGCATTCACGATACAAGAATAGTGACAATTGCAGTCAAGGTATAAGTAAAGAGTTCATAGTAGCTTGTCATTGATTAGATGTGTTGAACAAGGACAGAAATCAACATCATATAACATAAAAATACAGCAGACTTGACAGATAGAGAGTTGGAATTTGTTCACCTTCCTTCAGATCATGATCAACCAAACCACCAAAATTTTCTACGTTAACATTTCAGACAGTCTGGCTAATATGTTTCATTTATTTCTGTGGGTTACTTCAATCATTCTAAATTACATAAAGTGACTCATAGAAAAGAAATGAAACCAAATCTTTTGAGCTACATTTAATCAGTTTAATTCATGACAGATGGATTGATCGATCGATGAAAAACATGCGAAAAAATCCCTAGTCCCTGATCAAACAAATAACACAAACAAATAAAACAAACAAGCAGGTAAAACAAAGGTATAGGTATATTGTCAAGCTCTTCAAAACATATATTTAAAGTTTGTACAATTTAAAGTTATCTAGTTTACGAGTAAGAGCAAATACAAAATGCACATACAGGCTCAGCTTTCAAGGAAATATAAAACAACCAATGAAAGTATGAAATTATCATCTATAGCATTAATGTTAAATTTGATCAAATATCTTACAAGACAGAGTCATGCCTGAATCATTGTTTTTTTTTAGGTGGTTTGTTGTTTAAAGATGTGAATGTATTACATACTACTCAAAATGGGCTTACTAAATGGTAGCTTAGTGAGGTGGATTGTTGTTCAGGCAACTAACTGTTTTGGCTTCAATGAAAAGTAAATTTTGATGCCTTGGCCAGTGTTTTCAAAAGTACTTTTGAACAATTATTTTGACAACTATCTCTTCACAGCTTCCTATTTTGGGCAAAAAGTAACCAGCTCAAAAACTGAGAGAATTTCATAATTTTCTATTTGTAGTATTCACTTTCACCTTTGGGAGAAAAATAAACCAGCTAACAAAAAATAGAATAGGACATGGCAATTTCTTTTCAGACAACAATTAAATGAAACAAAATAGTCGTTAAAGAATTCAAGTTAAGTTTGGTGAAATCTGTGAGAGATTAATTATCATTCCTGAAAATTTAAAACTATTAGAGTTAACGGCAAAATGACGGCAGCAAGCAAAGGTTAGGGGCAGTGTGATTGGCTAAAAACACGGCAAACTATACAAGCCATATTTGGTCGTCATGACGTACAGTCAATAGTTCGTCTAGGACTTTACGATTCCGCGGAATAAACTTTCTCTGATTGGGCGGAAGAGTGAAGAATGACTCCAACTGAAAATGATAAAATAAACAAAAAATATGAATAAATAATGAAATGAATAAATAAAATCAAGCCATAATGTTTAATGCAATTTGATATAAATGGTATCTTTTAGGATATAAAACCAAGATGTATCAAAATATTTTGTGCACCTGCAAAAAGTTCTGGATTCTTCTCCTCATTTGCACAATGTCAAGCTATTTTGAACTTTGTCTTATACATTGACTCCAATAACCATCTTTCCTATATCATGGAATGCAGCGGTTTGATTGGATTATACGCTAGCAAATACAGCACACAAAAAAACAAATATGGTTGCAAATGTAATCGGGGGATATTTGTTAGTGTATAATCCAATCAAATAGCTACATTTCTAAACGTACTGTGATACAAGAAAGGTGGCTATTGCAGTCAAGGTATAAGATGCAGTTTGTTATAGCTTGACATAGTGAAGATGCGAAGTCCTAAGTTTTCACTTAGCAATGTCAAGTTATTCTACAGGGATCCTAATTATTCCCCTTTTCTTTTTACATTTTTCTATGTTTCAAGAGTCAACAGTCTTGGTGGTATTACAGTATAATAATGTATAACAATGTGTATTATATTTTCAAGATGCCTTGAGATGGAATTTCATCTAAAACAACAATTAATACTGGTACCCATGTTCACATAAAACAATGAAGATTTGTGACATTACTTGATGGATAAAAATCCATACAAGCAAAACAATTTCAGTTAACCAAAAATCTTGTCCAAAGCATGACAAAATTGGGAGCAATAATTGTGTAGTAGTGGAAGTACTATCAGAAATGGATATTGTCAAATTCAGATTCAGATGTCATCATCCAGGGATCTTTGCCCTATAAGCGTCTAAGCGTGTATGTTGATTTGGGGTTTGGTAACCTGATGTAGGCTATACTGCTCTATCACTTACGACCAAATATCTTTTAAAGCAATACAGAAAGCTAACACAATTAGTTTTGTTATCCTTGAATTGATCAGTAAGTTAAAGTCAATGATTCCATGTCCAAAACTATTCCAATAATGCCCTCGCACCATATCAATCACCAGCTGAATATGGTTGCGAATAATGATAGTGGTCATGAGTTCCAAACACAACTCACAACTCAGTTACATGAGAATTGCGTTTGAAACTCTTAACTGCTCTTCTTAAAGCAACCATTTGCAACTGGTTTGATATCCAAATCCCATCATCAATGTGATGCCCAATTGGGCTTGGTGAAGACAATGTCCCTTTCAGAGAGTTCACAAAGCTAATGATATCTTTTTGATATGGGATAATTTTTTGTGCTGCCATTATGACCATTTCATGTGATTTTTTTTTTGGCAGTAAAAATATAAACATAGAATCATGCACTCATTGTTAGACAAATTGTCACTTGGTGCAGAAAATCCCCATAAAACAGGGCCTAGTTTTTCTGTCTCTACACCAGCCGACAATTGTCAAAATAACTATCAGAGGCTGGATTAGAGGCAGATGATTTGGTCTTATTGCCATTAAATGATAGTTCCAAAATACAAGTCCAGGTCCAAGCTTGGATTGAGCAGGCATTAGGAGGGATTGCATTCAGATTCAGAACAAATCCAGCCATTGATCAGATTTTCCAAGATGCAAATTGTCACTAGCAGTTGTTGAAAATCCAGTTGTTTCAGTCTCATATTCTGAGTCAACAAAGGCCTGAGACCAATTAATCAAAACAATACTATAAAAGCATGTTCCATAATCAAAAAATATTGACTCATATTTGGTTTCAAATCATAAGATTAAGAATACACATGCAAGACTGGATATAACGTACCTGTCATGTACTTGACACCCCTCATTTTCTATTGAACTCTTCCACACATGTATACTTTCTATCAAAATGTATGATGCATGTATATGATTGGATGAGCTCATATAGAATATAAGGGGTGTTTTGGTTTCCTGCCACATTATATCCAGTTCATAACATTTAAAGCTCAGGTAAGTTTTAGTCAAAACTTTTGAGATTAAACATAGAAAATTACATAAACTAAAATTATCAATTCTTATACATGAGCATCTCCACAACATCAAAACAGAAATTATGTCCCAAACTTTGGGTGTTAAAATTAAAATTGGTCTCACTGGAATAAAAATATTTGAAGCAAAATTCAGATTATCATTCAAACTATTTTCAATTTCATTAAATGGTTTTGGGGAACATAAAATACATATAAGTGGTAATTGGTAAGTATAAGTTAATCTTTGTGTTAAATATCTTCTTTACAACATTGCAGTCAGATTGTACGCAAAGTTAGGGATCAAGATATCTTGGCTATCAAACGCCAGTAATTGCATTTTAGTCCTAACATGTAGGGCTGGGTAAAATAATCGAAATAACTGATTATAATTTTGATTATCAATCATTGAAATTCATAACCTATTAAATGTTAACGTTATATTTTTTTCCGTGTAAATAATCTTAAGTGATAATTTCTTGCACATAGTTTCCTTTCAGCACATCACTTACCCACAATAAACTATAATAACCAATCAAAGCAATAATATACTTGTAGGACACAAAAATAACCCATGTAATTAAAAATTGGACATGAGTATTAAGAAGATTCTCAATATTTAGATCATTAATCAATCATTGATTGGTAGTCCGCTATCGATAATCGATCTCAATGTGGTAATCAATACCAAGCCCTACTCATGGTCCTAAATAGGCACATTAGCTTGATAACACGTATACCTACTTTACTATAAATTAAGCAATTTTTTTTTAAATTTTTATTCACAATAAAAATTTGACAAACAATATAGAGTTAAAATAAACATTAAATATTTCAATTCAATATTTTTTCAGGTCTTTTCAGTGTTATATAATGCCTGGGTGATATCAATAACAATAGATAATATATAAATATACTATATCAATTTACACTTCATTCATATTGTCTTAACATCTTCACAATGTCAAGCTATTACAAGCCAGTGCTTTCATTGAGACTCGTCTCAATACACCCTAACACAAACTGTGTCTTCACAATGTCAAGCTGTTACAA